CTAACTGGAGTGTCATGCATTGCGACTCTATTTGCCTCCTTCGCGGCGAGCTGCTATAGTCCCGGAGCAGCGCAAATGGAAGCCGAATGGCATGTCAGTCAAGTCGCTAGTCTGGTCGGGATCACGACCTTCACCAGCGGTTTCGCAATTGGCCCCATGTTCCTCGCCCCTTTTTCGGAGATCTATGGGCGGAAGCCAGTCTTCATCGCCACGGCCATCCTTTTCACGATTTGTCAAGTATGCTGCGCAGTCACGCGACTGTATTCCGGGTACGTACGGCATGTATCCGAGCTTATCCCCCTCGCCTACCCTCTGCTCTTGACTCTTGGCTTCTGGCGTACCATGCAAAGACTGACTCTCTAGAGGGATTCGTGAAGAATGTTGGTAGCGCGCTTCTTCTGCGGCATCGGAGGCTCCACCTTTTCCACCATGGTGGGTGGGATTATCGCGGACATTTACCACGCCCAGAATCGTAACGCTCCGATGGCTCTCTTTTCCTGGGCCGCACTCTTCGGCACGGGTCTTGGGCCCTTGGCCTGTGGATTTATCAGCCAATACACCGGCTGGCGTTGGATCTTCTACATCCAGATTATTATCGCTGGCTTGATAACCGCGGCGGTCCTGGCCTTCTTCCGCGAAACACGCGGACCCGTTATTCTCCGCGAGAAAGCCCGACGATTGAACGAATGGCACAGAGCCATGGAGGCAGATGCGGCTGCCACTGCCGCAGGGGAACAAACGGCTCAGGACACAGACAGACAAGAGCTCAGACGCATGGACATGGTTCGATGGCAGGTGGCTGCGGATGCGGAACGTGCTGGAATCCTGCAGCTGCTTCGGACCTCGCTGCTGCGGCCTTTCACCATGCTTTTCACTGAGCCTGTTGTCTTCTTCTTCTCCCTTTGGGCAGCCTTCAGTTGGTCGGTTCTCTACATAAATCTCTCTGCCATCCCGCTCGTCTTCGAGACCGCTTACTCGTTCTCGCTCTCGTCTGCCAACGCCATTTTCGCAGCCTCGTGTATCGGGAGCACGGTGGCGCTAGCCTTATGCCTGGTACAGGAGTCTCTGGCAACCAGCTTCTGGTACACACGCAAGCGAGATCATCAGTCCATGTGGAATTCGGTTCCCGAACACCGGCTGTATTTCAGCTGTGTGGAGAGCTTGCTTCTACCACTGGGCCTTTTCCTGTTTGGCTGGTCAGCGCAGTACCAGGTGCACTGGATAGTACCTGCTGTGGCGGTGGGAATCTCTACTGTCGGAATCTTCTCAATCTATCTCTCCGTGTTTAACTATCTGGCCGACACCTATCATCGTTACGCCAGTTCCGCTTTGGCTGCCCAGAGCTTTTGTCGGAATATGCTGGGCGGGGTTTTTCCTCTCATCTCTCGGCAAATGTTCACTCATCTAGGATTTGGCGCTGCAGCCAGTCTGCTTGGCGGCGTGGGCATGGCTTTGACACTCGTACCGTGGATCCTGGTCTGGTGTGGGCCCTTCATCAGAAGACGGAGCAAGTTGGCCCGGGAGATCATGGATTGATTTTGAAACCAGAGAGTAACAGAAAGTCGCGGTAAGAGCGCAATCCGGAGGGCACCTGACACATCACCCACTGCTTTTTCTTTTCACGCAATGCCCAGGTTCATGTTGTCACCCGACTTGTCGAGGGGGATTTCAAAGATCCAGGCATCAATTCCGCGTACCGATCCAGACTCTGGCCAACGAACCTCACCATCGGCCAAGGGCTATTGCAAACCTTGAACATCTGTGCCCAAACTTTGACGACTGCAGAGCTGAGGAAGCTGGCAGTTCGATGCAAGGCCTCCAGCCGATAATCATCAATTTCATGACTGATGTGGATTGTCTCGTCCTGTGACATAAACGCTTCCCGTACGACACGGATAATCCACCGGACAACGCGTGTTTCCAACTCTATGTGGGCCACATTAGTCTTGCGATAAGAGTGAGGGGCGATAACAACCTACCAGACAGTGTCTGCTCCTCATAGGAAGCTGCCACTACTTGCAGCCACTTGCTCAGGAAGATAGCACATTCCAGATCACAGACAGCATGATCAACGCTCCAGCCGAAAGATTTGAATTGAGAAAGATAAGAAGTGCCCGCCTGTACAGGAATGTTCAGGGAATGGACAGAATGTAGCAAGGCATGTATGAGATGAGGACCGCGCGTAGGCAGGGGCGCCTCGTACAAGCCAGCGGCGACTATTGCGGGATCGCCGCTCTGTAGATTGCGCCACTTTCCAAGGTTGTAATACAGACGAATATATGCCACACCCAGCAGGGCAGTGGCGGAGAACGCAAGCGAGCTATATGAATCATACAGGTCCAGCTTGGATTCGGGAGAATGGCACCAGGTGTGTCGCCAACGGTCAAGCGACGGCTCCAGTTCTTGGGCGGTTTGCATAGAGAGACTTTGTGTCTGTGGGTCCAGAGAGATTTGGTGCATCATGTAAATACGCTGGATAAGTGCGTGGATCAATATATAGTTTCCCATGGGCGATGCAACGAATTTTGCAGATGGGCCTTGTCCAAGATGGGCCTCATGGGCCTCCTTCAGGTTAATTGTAGATGCATGAGTACTGACATGAATCCATGCAGCTTCCGTTCGCGCAACCCATTCCTGGCACGACGATGGAAGCTGCAGGTTGACATCCCTCGTGAGCAGTAGAGGTGGATTATCGTATGTGAAGGCATGAAAGTTGAGTATATACCAACCGAAGAATTGAGTGCGCCGTTCTGTTTCTAGCTTGATCCACTGAGTCCAGCTGGTTCTGTCATGATGCGGCCCTTCGGACAGACCAAGTCGGCGGAGCGAGTCAGCTATCATGCTCTGGTATTGGTGCGAGTCCTGCGACAGATCCGGGCTGCTGTGCCAAAAGCAATAGACGGCCAACAAGAGCAGAGCACGGGTTCGGTCTAGACGATGTTCTCCATGGCCGGATGAAGGAGTTGCGCTGCTTTGATCAGGCGCGATAGAATTGATGTCACAGACACTGTTAACTGTGCGAAGACGTTCCAGTACGATAGATCGGCTAGCTTGGTACAGAGACCTGGCAGTCTTGGTTTCGTAGCGATACTGGGCGCCTATGGCCAGCATCGCCAGGATGAACTCGGGAGTATGGACAAAGGAGGTCAATTTGAGGGTTGGGATATGGATGAACGGGTGATGATCACTGAAGCCTTCGACATATCCAAGTAAGTAGCGAGCAACGGCCATTCTCGAGGGCAGCCTGAAATGGGGCATAGCTTGTCGAAACGGCGCCAGCGCGTTGGTAATCTGCAGATACTGGCTCTCGTTCAAAAGCCAAGGACAGCTAAGAGGCTTCAACTCGTGGAAATCACCTGGTAAGGGATTAGTAGAAAGTCTTGAAAAAGTCGAGTCAAAACAAACCATCGCCTGACGGGTCATCCGGTACCCGCGAAGAAATATCTGTGCTGTCTGGACTGATCTGCTGGATTGTATCGTGCTCCGGCAAGTTGTGGTCATGCGATACAATGCTTGGGTCGACCAGCAATCCTTCCCAGTCATGACACCAGTCCCCATGGGTCAAGAACCTGGTGAAGCCAGAAATCGGATCATCGCAGTCCGCAAAGAGACCGTCCGTGGAAGACAAGAGGAAGTTGTCGAAGGAATAAGGCACGGCGGTGTTCCCCAGGAATGCAGTGTCTGATTGCTGAGAGATGGTGGTCGATGTCAACGGCTCGTGTGCAATGGCATGGGATATAGAGTCAGTATGGTCGCTCATGTGGTCCATGGTTGAAAGACCAATAGATGCAGCGTTTGTACTAGTGAGGGTTCGATCCACCGCGGGTGACATGCTTCCTGGCCGACAATAAATGAAATGTCCGCTTCTATGCGAGTGGGGGACAGCACACACACCTCGAGCAGCCCCTTGCCTCCCGTCAAGGCCATGGCTCAAGCGTTCATGTCGGGTTAGTAAGTCTTTTCGGGAGAATGAACGACCACACGGGCAGATATATGGTTTATCTTTAGTATCTGTAGGGGATTGGTCTGTCAGCAACAGATCTGCGGTGTACTGTTTCCGAGTGGATACCCACGAGTACGAATATGTCGTTGCAGATGCTCGTGCCTGTTGAAGGTGCGCGAACATATCTTGCAGGTCAGCTCCTCGCGACGAGCGGCGGATGCAGGACTCAATGGACGAAATGACATTCCTTGACTCATCGTGCCAGATTCCAGTCAAGGCATTGTGAGCAAGAGTCCGAGGGGCCAGAGATAGACTCTGATGAGTGTGGAGGGAAGGTTAGCACGGAGTAAATTGAATAGGTAATCCATGATGGTAGTCAATCAGTGGCAGTCGAGAAGGAGAGAGTGCACGTGACAGACCTTACCTTCAGTTTTAATCGGCGTCGATAAGCTGCGATAAGGTACGATAAGACACGTGCGATAATGTCGCCTGAGCTTTTCAGGTTGAAATTATGCAATGAAAATGACTGCTGTACTTGTAGAGAGCATCAGCCAGGCTTATCGCAGGATCAGCCATCGTCCCTCTTCCTGCTTGAAAATCGAGGAAAATTCGAGGAAGATTCGTGGTTGGAAATTTGTTGGAGATATGTTGGAGTCTCCAACTCGGGCTCCCGTCGGCAATTCTAGTTGCAGCCTGAGGCTTTCGAATATGAAGGCCTCGAGTCAAACAAAAGAAACGGTGCAAACAATCGAAACAGCCGGCGATCCTCGATTACCCGCGGCGTGTATGAAGCGAAGCTTTCACTAGTCGCCATCTCTCACAGCACGAAATGGAAGTATAAGGGAACACTCCTTGTACTCCATCGTGTTGATCGGAGCAGGCAAACCTTGAAGGTCAAACAGCTTGAACGAGACAATTCAATGCCTGAGGCAGATGCTAAGTACAGTACTCAACTGTACATGATCGAAACAGCGTCGTCCAATTGCAGCGAGACACTGCTACTCCTCAAAACGTCACCCAAAAGTATAGGCGCACAAATTGTGTCAGATGACCCACCATGCTACTAACTCCCATTCACGTTCGCGGCCGTCGCAAAATACGGGATGAAGATGATGACGCTCCCAAGCCCATTCCCAGCGGGCCCCGAGGCGGCCGGCCACTGCTATCAGCCCAGGCGAAGCTCAGTTCATCGCAGACTAGGAGCCACAAGCGCGCTCGTCTACTGACTACCACCCCACTCGACAAGCCGCGCAAGAAGAAAAAGCCATCACTGCTGGAATCTATTCCCAATGAACTCATCGAGAAGATCTTTCTGCATTCTTTGAACGTGAACCTGGCTCGTTCGTCCCCAATCCTTGCTGCGGCTGTGTCGACTGAGCGCATCTACCGTGCTTTGATCTTGTTGGCCTTCTGGGATAACAGCACGGAGTTATCTGCATCACCCTACAGCCGTGAATCGAGGGATGCAATTTCCCGAAGTCTACGACCATTGGACTACACGCCTATCAGCCTGGCGCAGCGGAAAGACCTGCAGACGGCTATCCTTCACTGTAGATGGTGTACCGTGCCGCGAATACTCGACCAGTTACCGGAATTGATGAATCTGGTCATTCAACAACACTGGTTTGGTGCAGGAATCAGCATGGCCGAAGAGCAAGAGAAGCTGTTAGATCGTGTGCTCAATCTAGAAGATGATGCAAATGTGTTCGAGGGCTTCGAAACCATCAACACTACCCCTGACACATCGACACCTGTACCCACAAACAACTACACCCTTGCCATCAACCCTTCAATATCTATTACCATCACCAACTATTCCATCGAACAGGAAACCACGCACCCTTTCCTCAGCCCCTTGATCATTCCTAACAAATATCTTCAAGGGAGCACAGCTAGTGACTCCGCGCCGGCCACTCCCTCCTCATCATTATCGGACGACGGCTTCACTCCAGCCTTGGTCACCTACCTTGAAATCCACCGACGCTCCCTAGGATTTAACAGTGTTACTCTTCCCCTGAGACCCCCTAAACATCCTCTCATCCTTTCTCGTCCCTGCTTGCAACAAGGAATCCATACCGCCATCGTATCCAACAATCTTTCCGCTCTCCTCACCCTCCTCAAACTGGACGAGTTCTACTTCCGCGTCACCGAACAGCAACACCTTACCGCGCAGGACCAGGACCAGGATCAGGAGCCGGTCATCCCCTACGCGTTATCTGCTGGGCACTTCCGCACCGCGGTGCGCTTGGCCCCGCGCAACCCGGAATTCTTCCAAGCACTCGTGCGGGCGAACGCCGAGTCGGTCCCCGCCGACGACCCCGAGATCACGGATTGGGCAATGCGCCTTCAGGATCCGTTCGGCCGGTGGCTGTTGGAGCTGATGCTGCGGCTGCCCGAGCAGACGGCGGCGGCGAAGCGCAATCCGGTCCAGAACTCGGTGTTCTGGATGGGGCGGGCGAATGCGGACAGACGTGAACTGGCGAGCATGTATCTGCGGGACGTGTTGGGCGGGGTGGAGGGGCTGGAGAGTTGGATGGGCGAGATGCATGTCCCACTGTCATTGCCATCCTCGTGATTGTTCCCTGATTCATTCTGCCGGCCGCGGAGGCGGTGGATGGGACGCTCTGGCGGCAAAAATCGCCGAGGCCGGCGGAATTACCCTCTGCGACATCTGGAAAGTATGTAAAGCGTCTCCTGATCTACTCCATCAAACAAGCAAACCCTCCCCTACACCATCACTGCAGCGCCCTTCGACCCCACACACCAATCCAGCGCCTATCACGACCCAATTGACAAGACTTACCCAAACACACCGTTGGCCGGCGCGATGCCGCGACTCTCGACCCGCACGATCCTCCAAGCGTACGCGCAAGACGCACTGCTCCCGCTGCTGCTCCGCGAATGCCGGACTGTTGACTCGGCCCGCAGCGAACTCCGCTGGCTCCGCCAACACGCGATCGACCTCACCCAACAACGCAAAGAACAACGCTATCGACGCCTCCAACAAGCCCGCAAAACCGGCCAAGCATCCGAAGGACCACATTCACCCCGGAATACACAACCCCACCGTAAAGCCACGCACCGCCACGCGCCCGAAAACGCCCCCCCAAAGGGCTGGCGCCGCACGCTGCGCACCCTCTGCCGCGCCCGCTCGCGCGGCACTCCGCTGCAATATCTCCTCGGCGACCAACCGTTCGGCGACCTGACCATTCTCTGCCAGAAGGGGGTCCTCATCCCGCGCAACGACACCGAAACCTTCACCTACGCCGCGGCCGAGCAGATCCGCCAACACTTTCCCCCTCCCAAACCCGGACCCAACCCCGCCTCCCCACCACCATCATCATCACCCTCACCCCCATCCCCATCCCCAACAACCACCACCTCACCCCCAAACCCCTCCCCCGCACCCTCTCGCCCCCCTCAACCCCTCCGAATCCTCGACCTCTGCACCGGAACAGGCTGCATCACCCTCCTCCTCCACGCCCTACTCTCACCAAGCTACCCCTCCCTCAAGATCGTGGGCATCGACATCCACCCGCCCGCGATCCGCCTCGCGCAGAAGAACCTGCGCCACAACATCACGCTCGGCGACCTACCGGCTCGCGCATCCCAGGACGTGGAATTCCGGCGCGCGGACGTCCTCGCCTGCCCCTCTGCGCCCACCTCCCACTCGAAGTCTAGAGGGCGGGTCCCCGCGCTGGAGGAGCTCCTTCCCTGCATCCCGGACTTTTGCCCCCGCGCCCAAGATGCATCAAAGCCGAACGGGCAAATGGGGAGGGAAGGGGAAGGGGAAGGGGAAGGGGAAGGGGAAGGGGAAGCAAAGGTTGAAGTTGACGTGATCATCTCCAATCCCCCTTATATCTCCCGGACAGCGTTCCTGGATGGGACGACGGCGCGGAGCGTGCGGTTCCATGAGCCGGTTTTGGCGTTGGTGCCGCCTTCTCCTGCTTCGGAGAATGGCATGGTGGAGGGTCTAGGGCAGGGGCAGCGGCAGGGAGAGGGGCAAGAGGAGGATGTGTTCTACGCGCGGATTGTCGGGTTGGCGGGCAGGGTTGGGGCGAGGATGGTGGTGTTCGAGTGTGGGGATTATGAGCAGGGGGGGCGGGTGGTCGAGCTGTGTCGACGGGGTGTTACGGCCCGAAAGCTGGGAGGGAGATGGGAAGTGGGGATTTGGGAGGATGAGACTGTTGTTGAGAGTGGAGGGGAGGGGGGAAAGGAGGGGGCGTGTATGGTCGTTATGAAGAGGGTGGATGTCAACGAGTGAATGGCTGTGTTGTACCCGACTTTATCTTGTAATAGATTGTATGTCCATATCTAGCGACTGGTGGATTTTGTGAACGATGAGGTATTTTCATGGCTCATTCAGCGCTATCACTATCAAATATTCGTCTAGTTTCCTTAATCGACTCGTCCATGCAGAAAGGGAAATCCAGCTCAATGTCCATCTGCTGGTTGATGTATACAAAACGTAATCACTCGTGCAAAGAATACACACCCAAGTCAACCCGGCTACTTCCGACCCTTCCCCTTCGTCGTCTTCGTCTTCTTCCCCGCCGACTCATCCACCATAACCGGCGACTGCAGGATCCGCTCCATCAACAGCGCCGCCGCAACACTGACATTCAGACTGTCCACGCGCGCGGGATCACTCTCCACCCCCAGCCGCGGATCGAACCGCGCGCCGGGGATCCCCACCTTCACGTCCGCAGCCGACAGCAGATGGGTACTCAACCCGGTCCCCTCACTGCCCATCATCAGCACGCAGGGCGCCTGCGCGGTCGCCGGGCCCTCCGCGGTGCCACCGCCAATGTCCGAAACCACCTGGGAGGCGGGGCCCGGCATGTCCGCGGCGAAGAACCGCCAGCCGTTCTCCTTGGACTTGGCGATGAACTCCTGCTCGTTGCGCACGGCCAGCAGCGGCATGTTCTCCGCGGCGCCGGCGGAGGCCTTGATGGTGACCGGGGTCAGCGGGGCCGAGTTGCGGCCCGCCAGAACCACGGCGTCGATCCCCAGGTAATACGCGGAGCGGATGATGGCGCCCATGTTGCCGGGGTCCTGCACGCCGTCCAGCAACAGCACGACGGGGTAGCGGTGGGTGCTGTCCGTGGCATCGGGGTGATCGGCGAGCCAGCGAGCATGGTTGATGGGCACGAGGGTGTCCGTGCCGTTGACGGCGGCCTCCTCGCGCGACTGCACGCCCAGCTCGACCTGGAAGTTCTCCTCCGCGACCGAAGCGACGCGGTGGAAGTGCGCTACGGGCAGCTGCGGGAGGGGCGAGGCCTCCAGCACGACCCCGTTGTGGGGGCGGCCCGCGCTCATCTTGTCGAGGAGCCGATCCCACTCCGCGAAGGCCATCTTGACCGGCACGTTGTTGAGCAGCGCCAGCTTGCGGATCGCCGACTTGGCCTCGGACAGGCTCTCGCCCTCGGACTGGTAGATGTAGAGCTTGTAGAGCTGGCGCCGCGTGCAGCGCAGCGCCGCCTCGACCGCCGCCGTGCCGAAGACGAACTGCGACGCTGGCGTCGTGTAGGGGATGTCGGCCGGGGGCAGCACGTGCGCCTTGACGCGTTCGGGGACCTGGTCGGTGCTCTCGTGGGTGTACTGCCCGACCTTGCGCCGCGCGTTGCCGGGTTTCTGCTTCGAGGGCGAGGGCCGGAGGTCCTGCGTGCTGCTGTCGCTTCGGTCGAAATTCGACACTCGACCTCGCCGGCCCTGCTTATAGTCGTGGCCGCTCTTGTCGCCGTTCGCGCCCCGATCATTATCCCTGGAGAGCTTCTTGAAGTTGCCCGTGCGGATGAACTCGACCTCGTCGAATTGCGCGCCTAGGAAGGACTTCTTGACGTTCAGGGTCGTCCGCGTGTCGGCAGACTTCTCACCGCGCTGGAACGAGGGAAACCGGGACCCATCCCGGGGGCCCTCCTCGCGTCTATTGCGCCTTCGTTCATATCCCTCGTTCTGGTTGGATCCCCGTTCTTCCGTCTCCCAAGCCCGACCCTCCCTAGATGTTGACGCTTCCGTCTCCCAAGCCCGACCCTTCCTGGACGATGATACCGCCCGCTCGCCGTCGCCTCTTCCGCGCCTGGCACCACCCCGAGACCCCCTATCGTGTTTATCATGTTTCTTATTCCTGCGATCCTCACCCCGCTCCCTCTCCATCCGCGCGGACAGTGACCGCCCCGACCGTTCCTCTCGTCCCCCATCCAGCTTATCCTCCCGGAATCGGGAGCGACGGATCCCGGCATGGATGGCCGAAGTCAGCGAGGCATGGCGGACGCTCGTGCTGCCGGAGGCAGGGTGCAGGCGCACGCACAGCGGCGTGCTGTGCGAGAGTCGCAGGCTTTTCGAGAGGGTTCGAGGGAGGGACATCACAAGGACGAAGCGTCTGCTTGCGACGGCGGTTTCTGGTTTCTGGTGGCGAGGCTGTGGTGACAGTTCTGAGTTCCGTGACGAGTATTCGTGAGGGAATGACGGGAAATGAGGGATAAAGACACAGCAGTAAGCACGGGCGTTATTCGTTAGAAGAGACCTGAAGCATGCGAGGAGAATTGAGCAGGGACAGCAAGCCGAGTGGAAGCGACACCCCGACAGATTTCATATGGGCCGATCAGTCTGCGGCTCGGGAGGATAAGCTCCACCCGGGAGATCGTTGTTCCGGATAACGTCTCGATCCATTTGCCTCTTATCGATAAGCGCCCAGTTTTGATGGTTTCGATAAGCCCAGTGGTAACTTGTAAGCCCAGTTGGCTCTTTATAAGGTCATTGACAAGATAGCTACAAATAGCTCAATCATGCGTTAAGTGACAGTCACAGGTCCCTGCCCGGACAGGATTTCATTCATTAATTCAGCGCTGAAAACCACAGTACGCCCCCAAATCACGACTGAAGGGGCTCGCCCATTCCGCCAAAGGTAACACTTTTGACCACCAGGAACTCCTCGATACCATACTTGCTACCCTCCCGGCCAAAGCCACTCTGCTTGACACCGCCGAAGCTAGGACACTGTTAGCTGACAATTCATGGAAGACCATTGCAAACTGGGCGAGCACTCACGGAGAAGCAACATCGCTGATCAGACCAGTGTTGACACCGACCATACCCACCTCCAACGCCTCGGCCACCCGGAAGATGCGCTTGACGTTGCCGCTGAAGAAGTACCCGGCCAGGCCGACCTCGGCCTGGTTGGCCAGGTCGACGACCTCCTTCTCCGTCTCGAAGGGGAACAGGCCCGCGACGGGACCGAACGTCTCTTCGGAGGCGAGGAGCATCTCCTTGCTCATCTCGGAGAGCACGGTGGGGTCGTAGAAGTTGGGCCCCAGGTGCGAAGCCTTCTGGCCGCCGGCCAGGACCTTAGCACCCTTGGACACGGCGTCCCGCACGTGCTCGTCCACCTTCTGGACGGCGCGGTCGTGGATGACGGGGCCGTGGGTGATCCCTTCCTCGAAGCCCGCGCCCAGCTTGAAGCCCTTGACCTTCTCGGCGAACCGCTTGGCGAACTCCTCGTACACCCCGCGCTGCACGTAGATGCGGTTGGCGCAGACGCACGTCTGGCCCGAGCTGCGGAACTTGGAGGCGATGGCACCGGCCACGGCGGCGTCGAGGTCCTCGACATCATCGAACACGATGAACGGCGCATTGCCCCCGAGCTCCCACGAGACCTTCTTGATCGTCGAGGACGCCTGCTTCATGAGCAGCTTGCCCACGTTCGTAGAACCGGTGAAGGACACCTTGCGGACCTCCGGGTGGGTGGTGATCACCTCGCCCACCTCGGGGGTGTTCTTCGAGGCGGTGACGATGTTGACGACGCCCTTGGGGATCCCCGCCCGGTGCGCCAGCTCGGCGAGGGCGTTGGCCGTGAACGGCGTCTCGCCGGGGGTCTTCGCGACCACCGTGCACCCCGCGGCCAAAGCCGGCCCGATCTTTCGGGTGATCATCGCGGCGGGGAAGTTCCAGGGGGTGATGAACCCGCAGACACCCACGGGCTGCTTGAGCGTGATGACCCGGTTGCCCGCGATCGAGGACGGGATCGTGTCGCCGTAGATGCGGGGCGCCTCCTCGCTGAACCACTCGAAGAACCCGGCAGCGTAGTTGACCTCGCCCTTGGCGTCGGCAAAGGGCTTGCCGTTCTCCCAGGTGATCAACGTCGCCAGGTCGTCCGCATTATCCACCATCAGCTGGTACCAGCGGCGCAGCATGCGCGCGCGCTCGCGGGCCAGAGTCGTCCGGAAGGCCGGGAAGGCTTCCTTGGCCGCCAGGATGGCCTTCTCGGTATCTGCGGAGGAGAACTCGGGGCATGTGCCGATGAGCAAGCCCGAAGCGGGGTCTGCACGAGCGAGTGAGAAGCATTATTAGCCTGGCCCTATCTCCTCCACCAGATATAATAAACGGTGACCAGCTTACCATGTACCTCAAACGTCTCCCCAGACTCAGCACCAACCCACTCCCCATTGACGTAAGCCTTCTCAATGAAGAGCGACTTGTCTTTCAACTAGAAAGTCAAAAAGGAATCAGCATTTCAAATCCAGCGTCCCCAACCTCCCCCTCCCTTGCACAAAACCTCCCAGAGATGACCCACCGGAGGTACCGTATGCCCCATATTGCTATACAACCGCTTCGCATAAACCGGCGGCGGAAGACGGAAGGGATAACGCGGCCGCGACGATTTCAACAACTGTTTCGAGACCGGACGGATAAACCTCTCCATCATATGCATGCGCTTCTTACTTTCCCAGCCCGAACCCACGGAAAAACAGCTCTCCCGCAAACTGGAAAAGCTCGTGCAGGACGTGTCGTCGTCTTCGCTGCCTCTTCTCAACCAAAAGTGCGGGGATAGACAAGCCTCGGAGGAACTGCGGAGCGGTGTTTGTGAACAAGAACTTAGAGAAAAGAAAATCACGATCGATCGGTTAGGAATTTATGATGAAGAAAAAGGAAGAGAGGAGGGTTTGACAGGAATACAACACGAGGCCCTAGGCCGGGGGGAGATAGGCCAGCTATTTAATTGCCAGTGGAATGGGGGTGAAAGTTAAGGTAACTTACCTAGTACTTACCTTCCTCTCCCTGCCTCTTCCAATACTTTACCATTCGGTTTGAGGGGAAGCTTCCCCCACTGCAGTCACGGTCACGTGGGGTCGACGTCATTGCGGGATCGCTGGGATCTCGTCCTTAAGTTCGGCATTGGATTCGGCTGCAATTCATCAAGACATACCTTACTAGGTACCCTCTTGGCTACTAGATTCAATGACATTCCACAATACTTCTCAAAGACCTCATACTGAAGGCATATGATTTCTCTCTCTCTCTCCTGAGTGCACATATCCTCCCTGTATAGTACCACACACAATACCAGAAATTACACAATGGTACCGAACGGAACGTTATCAGTCGGCAGCCCGCCCAGCAGCGAGCTTAACCTCGGCGGTGTGAGCCAATCGGCTGGACTCATTGAACAGCTCCGGTATCGTTGCCCAATCATGTGTCGTCGCAGCCACAGCTATTTGTACGGGCGTCTGCCACCGCCAGCACTGCGGGCAGGTAAGTTAATCGGCATCATCCATCCATGGAAGGGCTCTCCTCTTGCCGTGAACGATGACTTTCTTCGTCCCATGGATCTTGAACAGGATTCCAAGGACAGGATGTGAATCGACAACTATTTTACTGTCATCTGCCAGATTGTTGTGGCTATATGACCAGTCTTACAAGGTATACGCCTACAATTGCCGTCCACGGTCTCACAATGCGCTTTGCTACTGTAGTAACCAACCGAGAAATAAAAGGACATCAATATTCATTCATCTAGTAGGGATATGGTTCTTCGCAGGCATGCAGACAACAAAAAAAAAGAAAGGAAAAGAAAACTAGCAACAAACAACGAAACTACTCGTCCTTAGCCCACGGCAGACTAAACGTGCCCGCCCAGTCCTCGACCTCCTGGCGCAGTTGCACGATCTCCGAGATCTCCTCGCCCTCGCCCACGTAGTCCAGGAAGGCCTTGACCGTGTTCGGGTTCTTAACGCCCTTGGCCGTCGCGCTCTCCTTGGCGGCCTTGTCCAGCTTCTGGGTGATGACCACCGCTCGGTCCACGATATCCGCCACCCGACGGAAGTCCTCCGGCTGGAAGCCCCGCGTCGTCATGGCGGGCGTGCCCAGACGCAGGCCGCCGGGCTTCAACGCCGACCGGTCGCCGGGCACCGTGTTCTTGTTGCTGGCGACACCGCACAGCTCGAGGACCCGCTCCACGCGCGCGCCATCCACCCCGCGGTTCTTCAGGTCCACCAGCACCAAGTGGTTGTCGGTGCCGCCGGAGACGATGTTGTAGCCCAGTCCGCCGCTGCTGAGGGGCGATCCCAGTCGCTCCGAGAGAGCCTGTGCGTTGGCCAGCACGGTCTGCTGGTAGGTCTTGAACTCGGGCGACTGGGCCTGCTTCAGCGCCACGGCCAGGGCGGTGATGGTGTGGTTGTGGGGCCCGCCCTGGTGGCCGGGGAAGACGGAGGCGTTGATCGGACCCTCGAGGTCGTACATTTCCTTGTTGCCCTTCTTGTCCGTCCGGCGGACACCCTTGCGGTAGAAGATCATCGCCCCGCGCGGACCGCGCAGGGACTTGTGTGTAGTGGTCGTCACGATGTCGGAGTGGGTGAACGGCGAGGGGAGGACGCCCGCGGCGACCAGACCGGAGATGTGCGCCATATCGCTGAGCAGATACGCACCGGCGGCGTCGGCGATCTCGCGCATGCGCGCGTAGTCGATCAAACGGCTGTAGGCCGAGGTACCGGCGATGATCATCTTGGGGCGGTAGAGAAGAGACTGTTTCGCAAGGCTGTCATAGTCGATGAGACCCGTCGACTCGTCCAACCGGTACGGCAGAGTTTCGAAGTACTTCGAGATGAAAGAAATCTTCTTGGTGGGGGTCTGGTAGCCGTGGGACAGGTGTCCGCCGTGGGGCAGGTCGAGACCCATCAGGCGATCGTGGGTGTTCAGGACGGCAGAGATGGCGTACAGGTTGGCAGGGGAGCCGGACAGAGCTGCAATCAATTAGACTAGGGCCTACAGTATCAATAATGATAAGTTCAATGAAGGTACTCACGCTGCACGTTCACGCCCCATTCTTCCGGGTTGAGACCGAAGGTCTCCAGCGCTCGCTGCTGACAGAGGCGCTCAGACTGATCGATGAACTCATTGCCTCCGTAGTACCGAGCTCCAGGATACCCCTCGGAGTATTTATCTGGTGAACGTCAATATTCATTCCCGTACCTCAGTCAAGTGTGTTCGAAAAGGTGGATGACTGACTCTGCATAACACTGCCCAAGGCATCGAGGACGGCCTGGGAGGTGAAGTTCTCGGAGGGGATGAGATTGATGAAATGTTGTTGGCGTTTTTTCTCCTGCAAAGATCATACTCCATCAATTCCCCGTCCTGAATACATTCCTAGCAGCTGGACCAACCTTCTGGAGGATCTGGTAGATGGCGGGGTCGGACTCTTCGAGGTGGGCGGAAAGCAACTATACTCCGATGGTCAGTACGGGTGGTATGACATCAGACATCGCCGGGCCATGCGAGCGATGCTCATCGGGGGACCAGAACGCACAGTTTGTTGGACTTCAGGGCTGGAGGAGGAAACAGAACGAGATTGAACAGGCATAGAAGGAAAAGAAGCGACCGCCGAGCGCATAGGACGAGGGAGCACGAAGGCCGGCTTCGCAGTGCGCGGGAGCAGGCGCGAAGCCTGTCGTCCGCAACGACCCAACATGATGTGTGGTGTGTTATGTAGTGGATGGTGAAGTTCTGAGATTGAAATGGAGAGAAGAATCAAATGAAGTGATCACTGAAGACCTCGAGACACGCGACAATCGGAAAAGTCGAAAAAGAAGCGAGGTTCTTTCCCCGGAATTATAAGAGACGGGGGAGACGGGGAGAGGAGCGAGCAGCGAGCAGCGAGGGACGACAAAGGCGACCTCGGACTGGAAAGGCAGTTGCGCTTCCTATCAGCTTGTCGGACAACTGCTGCTCCTCCGTTGCCCGCGGGAAGCTGTTTCCACTAGGCCGGAAACAGACTAGCATCTCCGGGCGGTACGTGCCCTCGGAAGAACAGAGCGGCCGCTTGCCGAGGAGAATTGTTTTTCTTCCTCGCCCGATTGCGGTTCGGCTTCTTCCTTTCTTCTTTTCTTCTTCATCACACAACTAAATCCAAGATGAAGAAAGGCGTTTAGCTTGCCAGTTCTCGTGGATGGTCGACTTCGGTCGACTATCCCGGGCGATGCTGACCTGTCCCCGCCTCCAACCATCCTTCTGGGACAAGGAACCATCCGATTGGAATTGGGACGTGTGTGTCTGTTGATGCCGACTGAGGTGTCCGTGGGAGGATGACTCTTCCCGAGTAACTCTTTGATGTTAGGGGTTACGAGTCTCGCACCTTCAATATGTAATAGACTGTCCAATAAACGCAATGCAATGATAACTATGACTGGATCGAAATCCCCAAATGATCTTCTTCGTAGACCTCCAAACCTGTGCACCAGGTCTTTCTCAGTCTGAACCTCTTCGTACTTGTTCTTTCCAATCTGCGTTACAGTACTGGTAAATTGCCCAGTTGGCCACATTACTGGCTTGGACCAGAGCCCAGTACAGAAGACTTTAGCAAGCTAAACTGTCGCTTGATAGCCTAGCTCACGGAATCGTTACTCGCCAAAACTCAGCTATCCAGACAAATCACATTTCAAGCAAAGTTCTATCGAGTTGCTGCTCATTGAAGCAGAAACCCGCAGCTAGGAGCACAATGCCTTTCTCAGGTCTCTCAGCAAGCACGCATAACAGACAGCCAACATGAAAAGGGCAACCATCTCCAAATATTGATACAAAGAGCCATTGAGCGTTGGCAAGCAGGTTACCGTTTATCAAGCAAGAAGCAAGGGAAATACGCCCGCCCAGAAAACCTTGCTATATACAACAGCAACGCCAGCCATAAGAAGAATTATATATACGTCTACACTCCAACCTAACCACCATAAACCAACCAGGCCACAGCGGCAGCCCAGCCACACACGAACGCAACGGTCAGAATTGAAGCACCCGCCCGATCCCCAGCCGTGATCTCCGGCAGCTCGTTGGGTGGATTCTTCGGGGCGGTGCCCGCGTTGGGATCACTCTTGCTGGTGCCCCCAGTATCCGAGGTCAACGGTCCTTGGTGACTCTGTTCTTGGCCCTTGTGGGCAATCATAGTGGAAGAAAAGACGCTCAGTGCACTCATATCAGACTCCAGCGAAGTCTCCCCATCCCAAGTCGCCTGGTGCCAGCGGCGGCCGCATTCAGTGCCCGATTTGCCGCCAGAGCATTGCTTGGCCGCCGCCAGGGCCGACTGCTGGATTTTGGGGATGATCTCGCCCGCGGTGTACGGCGCAATGGTGGTGGTGAATGTCAGCCAGGATGACAGAAATCCCTTGAAGCAGTCTTGATTGCGATCGCACATCATGTTCGGTTCGCAGGAGATCTCGGACATGATGTTGCCGCCGAACTCTTGAGGGAAGAACTTCTGCAAGGTAGTTCCGAGCAAGCCGTCTAACGCCTTCTTCCACTTGTCTCCCCCGTTGGTCTAAGTCTTGTTAGCTTCCTGCAGTCACTTGAGGGAGATCCTATGGTAAGGACGGTGTCATACGTGGTTATACATATAGGCGGCTCCACTGATGTACGTTCCGTAGTTGTACGTCCATTGGAGATCTCCATGGTCTTTACACTCCGTCTGCGTGGTGGTCGTATCAGCAATGGACCACTCGTCCTCCCTCAGGAGCGGCGTGGTCGCCATCCAGTCGTAGATCTTCTCCGCCCAGTTGCTGTACGTCTCATTGTTGGTGTAGCGCCCCAGTCGCGCCGCTAATTGGAAGAGACCCCCGTTGGAGATCGCATTCTTGGTGGTGTATCCAGCCTGGTAGGGCCACAGCTGCCAGCGCAAACCACCTTGACAACTGGTCGTGTCCCAGCGGGGTACTTGAGTGTTGAAGACCCCCTGCGCAAGCGACAGCCAAGACGGTTGGCCGTCTTCCTCTGGGTAATTCAACTCGGCGGCCGTCATTGCGGCCAGCCCCCAGAACACCTGGTCATCGTTTCCGAGGTAGTTACTGTAATTGGCGGGGAAATAATCGTTCTGGCCCTTCTGCCAGAGCATACCCTCGGTGGTGACGGCGTTGTAGGATGTGTCGCCGGTCCAGTACCAATATTGAATCAGCGTCATAAACATGGCGCCTCCTTCCCACCATGTATCTACCAATTTGCCCGGGATCTGCCCAGATTCGTTGCCGTGGTAGTAGCTCATCATGTTGTAGGCTGCCGTCGCGGCAGCATTCTTGATCGATTCTATGTAGAAGAAGGTCAGTGCTTGGCGCATGAATCATACTCGTGAACAGGAAGTATGCGCTTACGCTCATCATTGAGATCTAACTGTAAGGCTCTGACTGTGTGCTGCCCGACGGTGAGGACGGCCAGCAGAGCCGTCCACCAGCGCGGGGACAAGATCATTCTCTATAGACTATGAGAGGTGTCTTAAGCGAAGGAATGAGGCGGCCGCAGCCTCGACATGCGCCGGCGCGTGGATGAAGGGTGCAGGGACGAGGGCGGAAAGGGATTGGCAGAATGCGGGAGGGGCTCGAGATCGAGGTCGAGATCGAGGTCAAGGTCGAGGTCGAGGTCGAAAATGAGGAATGAAGGGAGATTCCACGGGTTTTAGATGGCAGGTATGCGGACTAGGGCGCGGGGGAGGGCGCTCTAGGTCTGACGTGAGGTCACTGCTTGTGGGGTCACGAATGAGTCGATCATGAAGGGACTGTAAGAGTTGAGTCAAGAAGGAGGAAGGGAAGAAGGAGAGACTACGGAGGGAAGGTAAAGTAGGTAGTAATCCATTGTGGGAGTAAAAAGTTGTATGGCCATGACGGCATTAGGCTATTTAACGAGAGTAAGAGGGAAGAGGGAAGATTCTGCCGTGGTGTCACATTGATGACCTAGTCAGTTGGGTCAGTTGGCAGACAGTTGAGTCGGAATAGGTAAAAATAGGATACTACTAGTAGGAATCAATCAGTGTATCCTACCCTACTTTCAACATTAGGCTACATCAGATGGTACCTTACTGTCCCTTTTCCAGGGAAACTAAACCAAGTCCGGCCAAGTGGTCAGTGACCCTGCGGGGAAAGGGTCCAACTCGACTCACGGGACTCAAACTGAACGGTGGATCTCCCGCACTGGCACTGCACGGCTCCAGAGCTGAGCTTCCATTCAGGCACACCTGCTCCTTTGTGATTTTTTTAAAATCTACTCGCAGCATTATCTGTGCTTCGGGATATTTGGACAGCAGATCAATCAATGAGCATGTGGGATATCAAATTCTTAGAGGATCCTTTGCGCATCAATTGTTGCGCATAACACCGGACCGGCCATGCGGCTGCACGCAATATATTCTCCGACCGGAACTCCAGTTTCATCATCAGTAAGTCGGCAAAACCACTCACTGATACATCAACTTTCCAGGGACGAATTTCAGCAGCAGTCCCTTCCCACTAGACCGAGATCATACGAAGGAAGAGCAATACCTTGAACATCTTCATCGCTCACATGGTTAAATGGGTGGCTTTTCCACGCGTCGATAACTTTTTCTCTGGCCTATTCTCAACACGAGCTGCCAGGTGTGATAAGCCCCATGCTTATCTTGTTATCCATGCAAGATCCAGACTAGGAGGATCGGCGATCAGGCCAACGCTGCAGAAAATTGACAACCAGCCTGGGTGCAGGGTCCTTGGGCAGCTAGTTATATGCCTTTAGCTTATAGCATATCGAAAAGGGTCTATAGAACGGTAATTACTGCACTCCAACTCGAAGCGCGCTATGTAAACATACATCGTCCCGGTCTCCGGGATTCTAAATCACACCTGATGGGAACCATAAAATATCGAGTTTTATTTATTACCCCTTTCCACCCCTCGCTGGAAATTATTTTCACACGAATTCGCCTCAAACCCGGTCACGTCTACGAGGTGCCGCCCGGATGATGTTGTCGACACGTAGAAGAAGCTGCAGGAAATGAGCATGTTAGCATGAACCATCTGGAAGTGGTGGAAAGAGCAATTCGTAGGACGAGCGTTCTTACCTCGGCTGCTTCCGACGCGGACGAGACCACAGCCTTCTTCAGCTTGTAGGCCTCCACGACGCCCAACTCGCGCATGTCGGCGATGCCACCGCCCGGGGTGAGCAGGTCCAATCCGGAGCTGGTCATACCGTTGTTGATCGCCTGGCGCAGGCGGGTCACAAGGTCGCTGGAGTCCAGACCAGCGTTGTCGGCGAGGGTGGTGGGAAGCTGCTTCAAGGCCAAGGCGAACGAGTCGACGGCCAGCTGCTTCTTGCCCGTCGTGTTCTGAGCGGCCTGCTCAACAGCCTTGGCCATGACCATCTCGGCACATCCACCGCCAAGAGTCACACGGGGATCCTTGACGGTCTGGGAAAGAACAGCCAAAGCGTCGTGAAGGGAGCGCTCAGCCTCGTCGAGGAGCTGCTCCGTGGCACCACGGAGCACAATGGTGCATGCCTGACCGGCAGCCACGCCCGAGAACTTGATAAGAGTATCCTCGCCGATGATGACCTCCTCAATAACATCGCAGTGACCCAGCTTCACCTGATCGGGGTGGTCGAAAGTCGAGGCGATCTCACCGCCGGTAACCAGGGCCAAGCGCTCAACGCCGTCGAAGTCGGCATGCTCAATCGACATGATACCGGCTTCCGTGAACAGCTGCTCGGGCCAGTTGTAGATAAGCTGGCGGTTGACAAAGCAGTTGATGCCGTGAGCCTTGATCCGCTCAACCTTAGCCTTCATCTTCTCGCGCTCGGCCTTCTCCAGCTCAGCCAGCTTGCCCGTCGATTCGACCTTCACCCGGGCGCCGAAGATCTTCACCTTGTCCGTGTCCATAGCCGTGTTGGCGACCAGAATCTTGGCGTTCTCCAGGCGCTTGGGCTGGTTCACACCGATCTTCTTGTCGAGAATGAAACCTTCATCGAGGTACGAGTCGCTGAGCTTGCCACCGGCCTTCTTGATGATCTGGATGTGGCTCAGGTCGGTCGAGCCGCGGAGGCGGAGAACAGCATCGCAGGCGAGGGTAGCGAAGTGCTCACGGTCTTGGGCCAACACCTTGGAGCTGAGGGTTGTGCGAGCGATTGAGTGGAGGTCTTTGCGGAACAGTTCCTTATCCGTGCTACGATCAACGGCGGCCTTCTCCAAAGCCTCCAAGGCAGCCTTGCTGGCTATCCGGTAACCTTCGATGATAGTCTGAGGGTGGATCTTGCGGTTGACCAGCTTCTCGGCTTCCCGCAGCAGCTCGGCCGCCAACACCGTCACAGATGTCGTACCGTCACCGACCTCGTCGTCTTGAACTTTCGAGATGTTGACGAGGACCTTGGCTGCGGCGTTGTCAAGGGCAATCGACTTTAGAATCGTGGCACCGTCGTTCGTAACAAGGATATCACCGGTCGACCTAAAGGCAACGATGGAATTAGCCCACTGCTCGCGGTCGGCAACCCCGCCTTGCTCCCATCAATCATCCCACATACGCTGACTGGAGAATCTTGTCCATTCCCTTGGGACCCAGAGTACTCTTCACAAGATCACCGACGGCGATAGCACCGACGAAGGCGGAAAGACGAGCATTTTCTCCTTTCTCCTCGATCACATCGTCGGCGAAGATCTGCGTGGGGTTGGCGAAGGACTGGAGGCGGGTCAGCACTGACTATCGATAAAACAGAGACAAAGAAGTGGCAGATAAACGTACCATGATGACTGTAGATAGTAGAAAAAGATGGCTACCGTCAAGGGAAAGGCTGGCAGCTCAGGGGTTGCTTGAGCTAGACGGTGAGGACGCAGAGAACGGCCAACTCTAGCCAATGCGGGACAAACCAGAAAAGTTCGTGATACTGCCCGACCTGACCGCCCGCCCCGTCTGTCGCCGGTCTCCTGTCGTCCATCGCCCTCGTCCACTTCACATTTCCCCTCAATTACAGCCTCACTCACTCATACTTCGATTCATCATGCCTGCTGAAGAGGAGCAGAAGCTGGCATCCGCCAAACGCCCCATATCCGCCGTGGATGGCGGCGATCAGGATGGTATGCCCGCATGATACCTGGAGGATTAGCACACGGTTGCGAAACAAGACATCCTCGAGCTCGAGCAGTTGCTGACGCTTTTCCCTAGGTGACGACTCGTCATCCGATGATGATTTCGGTCCAGCTCTTCCCTCCGCAGATGCTCCGAAGAAGAAACGCCGCAAGCTCCCTTTCGAGAAAGTCTACGTGAATGCGCTGCCCTCGTCGCCGCGGTACTCCAAGTCGCTCATGCACAAGGATCAACTGTCCTTCCTCACCGTAACTCCGCATACTGATTTCCTGATCACCTCCTCGATCGATGGCGTCGTCAAATTTTGGAAGAAAATGGCCGTGGGCGTGGAGTTTGTGAAGGAGTTCAAGGCGCATTCAACCGAGATCAAGCATGTCAGCGTCAGTGCCGACGGAAGGAGCTTTGCGACGACCGGAGCAGACAAGACTGTCAAGATCTTTGACGTTATCACCTTCGGTATATTATCTGCAGTCATGATTTGATTTGACTCAGTCTAATGTTGGTCGCAGATCTATTGGCTATGCTTACTCTCGACTTCAACCCGCGTTGCGTCTGCTGGGTTCATCGCCGTGGCGCCTCATTGCCGCTCCTGGCAGTGACCGACGAAGGAAGCAGCATGATCCAAGTGTTCGATGGCCGTGGCGAGAACCCCACCCCATTACATACCGTCAAGTCCATCCATCGCAACCCCGTGGTCGCTATGGCGTTCAACGACGCGTACGACTGCGTCATCTCCGCCGATGAGTCCGGTATGATCGAGTACTGGCGGGCGGGCGACGGCTCATTCGAGAAACCCGACAACGTCTTCGAGCTGAAATCATCCACCAACCTCTTCGAGTTCAAGAAGTCCAAATCCACCCCTGCCTCGCTGTCCATCTCCCCCTCCGGCGAGCAATTCGCGACGATCTCCTTCCCCGACCGCCAAATCCGCGTCTTCGACTTTGCTTCCGGCAAGCTCTACCGCAAGTACGACGAATCCCTCACCACCATCATGGAGATGCAGCAGGCTGGGACGGCGCTCTACCAGCTCGAAGAGGTAGAGTTCGGCCGGCGACTGGCGGTGGAGCGCGAGCTGGAGAACCCCATCACCAAGCCCAAGGTCAACGTCCTCTTCGACGAGTCGGGCCACTTCATCCTGTACGGCTCCCTGCACGGCGTCAAGTGCATCAACACGTACACCAACCGGGTGGTGCGCGTCTACGCGAAGGACGAGCCCTTCCGGGCCCTCAACCTCGCCATGTACCAAGGGCAGCCGCAGAAGAAGGGGGTGGTGACCGTCTCGATGGCCGCCAGCGCCAACCCGCTCCTCCAAGAATCGGAAGAACGCGACCCGATCCTCGTCAGCACCGGTTACGGCAAACTCCGCTTCTACCTCTTCACCAACGAGACGGACGTCTCCAAGTCGACGCGCGACGTCCAGAACGAACGCCCCCGCGAAACCGGCGCCGGCGGCCGCGAGGCCACCGCCGCCCACAAAGCCGAGTTGGGCACGTCAGCGATCCTGCACACCACGATGGGCGACATCCACCTGCGGCTGTACCCGTCGGCGGCGCCTAAGGCGGTCGAGAACTTCACCACCCACGCCCGCGCCGGGTACTACAACAACACGATCTTCCACCGCGTGATTCGCAAGTTCATGATCCAGGGCGGCGACCCGCTCGGCGACGGCACCGGCGGCGAGTCTATCTGGGGCGGCGAGTTCGAGGACGAGTTCTCCAGCCTCAAGCACGACAAGCCCTACACCCTGTCCATGGCCAACGCGGGGCCCAACACCAACGGCAGCCAGTTCTTCATCACCACCGAGAAAACCCCCTGGCTGGACGGCAAGCATACCGTCTTCGGGCGCGCCGTGCAGGGCCTCGACGTCGTGCATAAGATCGAGAACACCAAGACCTACAAGGAGAAGCCCGAGCAGGATATCAAGATCGTGAGTATCACGGTGTCGTAAGCTGACAGAGAGGGGATACTACCGCTAGCGCTTTTGTTGATGTTGTTCTTTCTTTTCCCCTTCCGCAGGCCTTGGGTCACTATGACTGGGTTCGCTGTACATCTAGACTTATATCCGTCATCAGCCATCAGGCAGCTTTGTATGAATCACGACTTATTTTTAATCATAGCATATTCATCCATCATTCTTTTGGTGTTTCTACTGATTTCTGCATGTGGGCGAGCGCGGGGGGTGATCCCTCTTTTGGATAAACCAGGACAGACTACGATAGTATCTCTGGTGCAACTGGTAGCATACAAGTTGTCAATGAAGCGAACGATTTGGGTTTCCCCGATGACTAAAGAGACCATAGAAGGTTGATTCCCATTACCCCACGTTGGGTCAGCAATATGCAAGAGGACAGACATTGGAAGATGACAGAAGAAGAATATATTCGATCGAAAGATGACGTGGAAGTCAGCCGCATGGAAAATGCCTGAGCCAGGAAACTATGCACAACATTCGGAACAGGATTTGTGTGATGCGAAGTGAAGAAACGAAAGTTAAGTGATGCTTTGTACTGTGCAGTTTGAGGGAAACAAAGGAATCACTGGTACTGTACGGCGGCAAATAATCAATACCCTTATAGACAAAATCAAAACGCCGGATATATGCAAAGCTCAGCGGGAGGGACCATGTCTTTTCGTCTTGTCCTTGAAGGGGTAACTGCAGGGGCTATCGATCCATGGCATATGGTTTGCCAGATGAATGGAAGAGGTAGAAGAAAAGGAGGGTGTTGCCTTTCAGTAGATTTAGACCGGCCGCCAGTTGTTCAGAGACAGCGGAAAAGGTTCCTGCGATGACTAATCGTGGACAATGCCTTCCAAACCAGACCTCCGTGAGTCTGGTTTCACCGAGCCACTTCGCGGATTTCGGTGTCGCTGTCGGATACGGGTTGCGTCTTCTGCAGACGGGATGACGTGCGCGCTGGTCGGGGCCCGGGGGCATTTGCAGCGGCGGCAGCGGCAGCGGCAGCGACGTTGGTGTGTGAACTGCTGGCGATGGAGCCCGGATTCTGGGCGGGGTCATACTGGGCGGGCATGAACTGACCCGGCGCGCGTGTATCAGGTCCCGGCGCGGGACCGATCTCCTGCTGGCGGGCGGCCAGCAGAGCGCTGTCTGTGCCACCCGTGGCTGCGGCGTGATACAGACCCGGGTACTTCCGATCATGGCGGCGCTTCGCCCACACGCCCACCACGCTGATGATGCTGAACCCGACGACCAGGATGATGACCATGATCACCCATTTGTAGTGTGTGGACCACCTGCAAAGCGACACGTCAGCAAAGGTTGCGCCCGCGTTGATGAGGGATGGCTCGTCCCGGAATACCTACCAAGCGTTGGAAGCGGCAGTCCTCCGATATGCGCGGATCTTGGTGACTGACTGAGCGGAATGGGCCTGCCATTTTTCCTCCTCGTTGTTCGTGCTGCCAGCGTCGGCGAGTGGGGCTGCGACCGCGCAGTAGTCGTTGTACCATGTCCGTAGTAACGAGCGATCGGAGGCATTGGTGCACGTATCATCGCAGACGGCGTTGGAGGAAGTGCGAAGCTCGGTGAGATTCTGTGAATGGCAGAAGCAGGAGGCGTAGGTGGCGGAGTTTGTCTGCGGAGCGGCAGGCGGCAGGCATTCAGATTGGGCTTGGAGGAGGACGGAGCAGGTCAGGCCGCAGGAGGGAAAGGAGGAAGAGGCAGCGGAAGGTAGGATAGCGACAGTTTGCGCATGAGCGACGGTGGAGGCGAGGAGGGCGAATAGCGAGAGGTATGCGATCAGAGGGAGGGATCGCAAAGTGGTTGTCGGTCTGGCAGGAGCAGCAGCATGACTGGCGGTCCAGGCCTGAGGCCAAGGTGCCATGACGACTGCTTTTTTGGCGGCTGAAGTTACGGCGGTGGGGACCGTCAGGAATGTTTACTGACGGGTATAAACCATGATATGTCGACAGAATGGATCAAGCGAGAGGACAGCGGCGAAGGAGGAGGAGAGACGACTGAATAGGTGGAACGAGTGACGAGAGGAGCCCCAGAAGAGTACCGGAAGACGGGGCGCTGTATCTGTCGACTTAGTCGGAACCCCCGAAGCTAGACGAAGAAGGAATGGGGGGGAGGAGGAGGTAGGGAGGGGCGGAGAGGGGAGGGAAAGGGAGAGAAGAAGGTAGAGAAAGGAATTGTCGGTCCGAGGAAAGGAAGATAGCCAAGAGAAAGAGAGGGATCTGAAGGAGAGGGGGGAGGAAGGAGAGAAAGCCTGTTCTGGGCGGGACGATGTTGGCGATGATGATGAGATTGAGTGGCTTGAAGAGTGAAAGTAAGAGAGTGAGTGAGAGGGCGTAAGTGAGAGACTGCAGTGAGTGAGTGGGTGAGTGAGTGAGTGAGTGATTATGTTACTGGTCAGTGAAAGGAAGTTGCGCGGCCTGGAGTGACTATCGCCCAGTTGGGCGTAGTAGGAGTACTGTTTCCTGTGTATTTCCTGTGTATTTGCCCGTCGGGACACTTTTTGGACACTTTCTGGACACTTTCTGGACCCTGAAGCGACCTTGGCAATTCTTCTCTCTCTCTTGCTCGCTGCTCTGCTGACCCAGTCATGCTTTCTCTTTCTCTTTCTCTTTCTCTTTCTCTTTCTCTTTCTCTTTCTCTCTTCTCTCTTCTCGTCTTGTTTTGGTTCTCGTGGACGTTGACCGAATCTCACTGACACTAAACGTCTCCCCCCTGTCACTACTCAGTCCTTACCATCAGCTCATCCCTCTCCTCTCCCCTCACCGGCCATCCGCAAGCCCTGTCAGATTGACCTGTGGTAAAAAAAAAATTATGCAGGCCACTATGCCCAATAACCTCGTTCCTGGGCTCCACTGGGCTCCTCTTTCAATGATGCAATCCGGTGGATGCCCGTCCCCATCGCTGGTTCCCCAGAATGCTGCAGGAAATAACTACTCGTACCCACTACGTACCGGTGAACTACTCGTATGCCTAAGGATTAACTATGAAATGGCTTCCTGGCCCATGAAATCATCGTTACCATATCGCCCGCCGGGTTCACCATGCGAGCTCCTCAGTTTAGAATAGTTTAACCGAGTTAACTTAGCATTGTCGATCGCATCTCGTGTTGACCCAACTCGATTTGAACCTTGATTTAGCCTGCCCAGGATCCATGGATCCGCCTAGAATCAATCCCGATCTCATTCCAGGGGCAGGGGGATTCATTCCCCGGGACTGCGTGGTTGCTGTCAACCACGCCACAACTCACACTCACATTCATCGAACTAGATGAACGGTCGCTTGCATCGAAACTCGAGACAAATGGCGCCCCGTTGCCTGACTCGAGGAATCATCCAAACTCGCCCAAGGCTTATCAGCCCAGGGAAAAGCCGGCGTTGAACGTTGAACTGTGCGGCGTTTTGCCCAACCAGGCCTAGTCGCCCCTTTCGCGGATCCAGTGGGATGTCAAAGCAAGGGATCGATCTATATTCTATTTTCAGCACACTTTGCCCGATCGGAAACTTCATGTCTTGGGTCTCCTTCCATGCAAGGTGCACATTAGGTCGGGACCGCCGTCTGTTCACTTTCAAAGTGAGGTCTAGTCCTATGCTTGGAGCGCCGGCTCATCGACTTAGAATGGCTGTGTCAGACATGCGAGACATTAGCTATGGGCCCAGAACATGCTTCCCACGGAAGTGGTCATGATAATAGGCCAGCACTCGTGCATCAATCTTCCTAGTCGGGACAATCGACAATGCAGAATGATTCTCAATGACTTCTTGTGCGTGGGTGGGAGCACTGCCCATTGTCGCCGATCGAAGATCCCATTGGAATGTCAAACTACACTAATAACACTCGATGAGGTCTCTCAGAGTCCATTCGAGCGCATCGAACTTCTTGATCTGTTTTGCCTGAAGACGGATCGAATAGAGACTTCACCGCTGTCTTCTGGAGTTCGCCCATCAAGGACCACCAACCGATGAAGTCTATTTCAGGCGATGCTCGCGCAAACCTCAGGCTAACTGCTGTTCATAGTTCAATGCGACCATCGCACAACAGGCCACCCCCACTAACCTAAAATGCTCTCTTTACTAGTATCGACAACAGACATCTCATCAACCTTCAAAACCTCTTCGCATGCCTTGACGTTTTCGTATCGCTCAGCAGCCACCCATCCCTCAGATCCAACACCCAATACCTCCCTCGACAGCCGCTCTTGCTCATTCAACTCCACCTGCGCAGTGTTTAACTGCAGACACTTATTCACCTCGTCTTGACTAAACGCGATCGGGCAGGCTGAGGCGTCCGCATCTTCCGATCGCACAAGCCGATCCCAATTCATCGTCAACTGAATCAAATCGGCCTTGAGGGTGACATTATCCCCATCCCAGGGAACGGCCGCCTGGTGGCACAACCTCCGCCGCAAGACTCCCAAGTCCCCCGTCAGGGCGGCCTGATGGGACGGGTTCAGCTTGGCCGTCGCCGTGAGATAGGAATAGTGCAGCCAGCGGCTTCGGAAGAGCTCGCGCTCGCAGCGTTGGTCTGCTTCGCTCAGCCTGTCGAGCCCTTCCGGCAATCTTGGCTCCTGCAGTAGGCTGGGGATATCGCCATCCGCGCTTTGAAAGTTGGTCGGCACCCCGCATTGCAGGAACAGCGGGCGGATAGTGCTATACTGCCAATCGATCAGGCCCGTAATTTCCAGGTCCTCATTGACAAATATGTTGCTGGGTTGCAGGTCTGGATGCCGAATCGTGTGTCGTGTCAAGGACGCGTCGCTCGGGATCAAGTACGGCGCAACCCGGAGGTAGTCGCTGAGATTGTTGACATGGTCCCTAGGTGACTGCTTGTATGATCGATTCGCGGGGAGAAGCTTCGATGCTCGCACGGGCTGGCCATATTCCTCGAGATATGCAATCTCCTTCCTGGCCCCGGCAGCCAAGACATCCAGGGGGCTCGTGTCTTTTCCAGTCAGCATCGACATGCTCATCCATCTGCAGTCAGGAGAAGCGAAGGTCGCGAATAGCCTTACATGGTCCACGATGCACCGGCAAGATCCGGCGTTTCCCCAACCAAAGCGCCCGTGTCACTTCCGGCCCAATGCAAATCGGACCCTCCCCCACGGCACCCGCCTCGTCCGCAACTCGCACCGTCTCCATGCACTGCAGGTCCCGCTCAAAGAAGAGACTCCCACTCGCGGGGAAATCGAGCGCGAACAGCCTGGCCTCCAGCTCCACGACCCTGTCCACCACCCCCGCCAGCTCCTGTTCCGACAGATCGAACCAGCGATCCGTGAGGCGCCGTCCCGCGGCGCACTCCATGAAGATATACTCCGTGCCCACGGCGTTGTCCGCTGTGGCCGAGTACCCGTAGATCCGGGGCACGGGGAACCCCCGCCGACGGAGGTATTCGATGGTGGCGACCTCGCTCGCGACCAGGAGGTACTTGGGCTCGGTGACGGGGTAGGGGATGCGGGCGACGAGCTGGAAGCCGTCGCGCATGGTGACGAGGAAGGTGCGGTTGAAGCCGCCCTCGCCGAGTTTCTGTAGGCTCGCGACCGCGGTTGCGGGGGCGTTGATCGCGGCGGCGGCCAGACGTTTCAGTTCTGCGACGTTGAACGGGCGTCGGCGTTGGGACCGGCGGAGATGCTCGTCGTGGCTAGTGAAGAGCTGGTCAGTCCTGCACGGTGCGGTCGGGAATTAAGATCAGCTACAGACATCCATCGTCCCGATGTGTAGTTGAAAAGGTCTGACGTAGAGGAAGAATTGTGATCTTGGTCTTGTTGCCAGCGCCGTGTGGTGGACGTGAGGTTTCTAGTGTGCGGGTTGGAAGCATGCGGCACCCTAAGCCGCGGCCATCGTGGGCGTCTGGCCTCGGCCAGGAACAGCTTCATGATGCCTGGGACAGGAACGTTTCATTGTCTGCGTGACTGGCAAGGAAACGAGTGCACGAGCAAACCAGCAGATGAAGTTTTCTCTGGATAAATGAGGAGAGGGGAGAGGGGTCGGCGGAACGTGATTTCGACCGCCAGCTCGGAGGAAGAAGGTCGTCCCTTTGGTCCGATGCAGGAATCATCCCATTTCCCCAGTGCCGAGGCGCGCTAATGCAGTCGGGGAGGAAATGAGATTCGTCGATCCTCAGGTCGTTGCACCACCACGGGAAATCCGTGCTTTGTTGCAAGGTTGCGTTGCATGGAAGTGGGGGTGAACAGGGCGGGTCTGCTTCTTTCGACTCCTACAATGACAATACCCGAGAATAATAATCTATCTATGCAGGACACATCGATATCTCTCCTTCAAATCTAGTCATGGATGCTGTTGAGTATTCCGAGCCTTCACGCTTCTAATCATTGCTGCTGTCTGACTTGCATCGCGGGGCGTAGGACCAAATTGATAGCTATTCAAGGAAAACGCTCACGCGACAAGACCAATGACCGATTATACAAGCCCTGATCTCGAACCTAGTGATGTCGCCCACCCATTCCTTCTGCTCGCTCTTTACTATCCCTCGACCCAATGCATGCCACTTGCTTCCTCTCATGAAATTGCTTCCGTAACTCGAGATCATAAAATCAAGCATGGGCCCAGATGCAAGACTGGCTCGAAATTAGAGGCAACTGTCGCTCTTACTCATACAGGACGGACCAACCCGACCTCCTACCGAGAAAGGAGGCCCTTCCAGCGCCCAAACACCATCGAAATGAAGCCTCGACATCACGGTATCCCAAGGTGCCTGGGACTCCAATCTCGCACTGCGCAAAACGGCTTATATGTAATGTGAGTCATAATCCCCATATCATGCGAGGTTGGCCCCGGAGGAGTTCACTGTCCACCCTCAAGTTAACATCCATGATCACCAGAGGGTATGCTTTATTATCTGCTCAAGTTGGTTCTATAGGCAGTGGTGCGTCCGTGTTGATCGACCTTTCAAGAGAATTGGGATTTTGACACTTCCAACACGGCAATAGACCAACACGTACCAGGAATAGGATAGAGTCATAGCACCTCCCTGACAACTCGGCGTACCGTCCAGTCCGTGCTGGCCACCAGTCACCACGAATTCTCATAGGCATAGGTCGGCCCGCCCTCGACACGGAAGACCGCGACGCGGCCCACGGTGAAGGTTGTTTGCCACGCGGGCGAATCTCCACCACCACTCTCAGTTCTGGCATGCTTCCTGGTCAGCTCTTCATACCCACCACCCGAGAGCGTGCCTGCAGCGTGGCCGGTTCCGCGCAGGAAGGTAGCCTGTTTTGTGTCCGCGTCAATCTCGAGTGCCACCCTCGATTGACCGGGATCCCCGATGCAGTGGCGGGGGGCGGGATGTCCGGGAGGACTGTTGTCTTCCGGGGAGAGTGAGAGAGGCATGCTGCTGCGTCCTCCGGTCCAGCGGAACAGGCTGAGCTGTGGCTGAAGCTGGAAGAGAAGCTGTGGACGGGCGACGACGGGCGATTTGCCTTTCTCGGGGGGCGGCTTGTCGTCGTGTTCTTTTGCGGTGGGAGGCGTGGCGAGTGTGAGGTCACGGAAGAATGCACCCGCCACTACCTTGTCCGAGTTGTGGGCGTGATCCCCCAGAAACAGGACGAGATACGCGCGACCGGCCGGATGGTCGTGCGTGGTGGCTTGCTGGAGAATATGCCGCAGGTCAAGGCTGTCGGCCGAGCCTTGGAAGTTCATATCGTAGCAGGTGTGGAAGGTGATCGCCTTGACTCTTCGTGCCAGTTCCGAACGGTGGTGGGCCTGGAACGGCGGGATGAACAGTGAGACTGCCCGGAGGATCGCGTCCATAGTGTCCGGTGCGGAGGATCCGGTCTCCAGATCCGGTCGCTCCGTGGACAGGCTGAGTGGAAACAGAGTGGCCCACAGCCGATGGAACGATTGTTCGAGATTGGGCTGGTCCGCGCAGGCATCAGCGCTGGGATCCGCAGAGTGGCAAGGAAAACATACCAGAATGTCCAAAGCCCGGAGCACCATCTCGGGAGCCAGATACTCGCTCTGGTCATGACTGAACGATCGGACCAGGACCCCCGCCAACTCCGCCTGGTCCGCACTGGGCTCCTCGAGGAAGCCCTGTCGATACTCTCGGTCGTGGTGGGTCAGTGGCTGGACTCTGAGCCTCAGGACCAGGCACAGTAACGCCGTGAAGTCCCCGGCCCTCATCGCACATTGGCCCGTTCGACCCCCGAGCAGACGTTCCGCCAGCGGCTGCACCTGCTCCGGCGACGGATGCAGTTTGGGGTGGGAGGGGAAGATTGCGAGGATCGCATCCGTCATGTCGTTGGCCACGAAGGTGTCGAAGCCGTCGGTTGGTGGATCTGAGCTTGCCTGGCGGCGATCGGCCCGGCTGATGCTTCGGAAGATGCGATTCATCCTGAGCCCGCAGGTGCAAGGCTCGTCCAGCCGGCCCCAGCAAAGGCCGAAGTCATCGCGTACCGTCCCGAGGAGCCGGGTGCCCTGCCGCGACAGCAGGAGTAGCCCACGCTCGAAGGCGGGCTGCTCCACCTTGCGGTCGTCCGCCTCCAAGAAGGTAAATGGATGGTAGGCGTAGAAGCAGAAGCAGGACCAGAGGACGTCGATCGCCGTGTCGGGGATGATTGTGTCGGGATGGGTTCGGGCGAGGTGGTCTTCAAAGCTCTTCCTCGACCAGTCTGAGACAGTTACCAAGGATTGCACCAGTCTCTGCTGCGCTCTCGCGCGGCTAGGTAGCACTTACAAGGCGGCTGCTCGTGGGTCGAGTCTTGGATGCTAGACGCGGCGAAGATGGACTCTGGCGGGATGGAAGTGACTACTTCTCGCACGAGGTTGATGTGCAGCTCGGATAAGAGCGACTCTAAATGTATATAATTAGCGCCGATCAGTCGATTAATCATTGATCAATTGGTTGACTGACCCCTTGTGGTGGTACGAAGGAAGTGTGCGATCTTCTTCTTCTTGTCTCTGAAGAGTATGTGGAACACTGCCTTTTCCAACAGGGTAGTCATCACTGGCGATTCTTCACAGGACGTGGCTTGTAGGGTTGTAGAAGGATGTTGATGGCACTGCAGGTTGTGTGTATGATTATTGACATGCAAGTAGCCAGGCGCAGGAAGTGACTGTGAAAGGTGACTGACAAAACTAGGACAATAAGAGGGCGACAAATCCAAGCGGCATTACAAGAATATGGAGAGGTAATTTGTTCAAATGCTCACTCTAACATGAGACAGTTCTCCACTCCAGAAATAGTAGACTGATCAAGTCCTGTGAGACGATGCTGGCCCAAGTGGCACAAACCGATCGAGAACAGATATACTGGGATAAAACCCGTGCGCGGCCCTGTTGTTGTACCTGTCCTTATCTCGCGTGAGAATGTAGGAGTGCTTGTTTCATTGTGCCAAGAGACGCCGTGCCGTGATAACCGCGTAAGCACTAACCTAACAATAGATGGACTAAAGCCAGGCCTGAACTCGCAACGATGTGGTTGCTCCGCAGATGCTGGCAACAGAGACGTGTCCTGACCCTCAATGAGTCTTTCACCAGTTCAAAGTCCAATGCACGGAGGAACACATTCGTTAGAGGAAGAACCAGACGAAGAGAGCATCTGGACGCCCCTCCAGCTAGCCGCCGCGCAAGGCGATCTGCCCCATGTGAAGCTTCTCCTGAGACAGCTCTTCAGCAACCCCAACGAGCCCGCCCGCGGCTACTACGGCCAAACCGCACTCCAGGCGGCCTCAGCCAACGGACATCTCGACGTGGTCGAGACGCTCTTAGCCGCAGGGTCGGAAGTGGATGCCCCCGGGGGCAACAACGGCGGCCGCACCGCGCTCGCCCTAGCCGCAGGCGCCGGCCACTTCCCCATCGTCCGCCATCTGGTCGCCGCCGCAGGCGCGGACATCCGCCGCCCCCCGCACAAATACATGGGACGCACCGCCCTGCAGGCCGCAGCGGAGGGCGGCCATCTCGACATCTTACGATGGCTGCTACACCAGCTCGAACAGCCGCCCGTCGCGGAGATCAACGCACCCCCGGCCACTAACCGCGGCCGGACCGCGCTGCAGGCCGCGTCGCTGGGCGGCCATGACGAGATGGTGGACTTCCTGCTCCATGCCGGTGCAGACGTGAACGCACCAGCCTCGAGATATCATGGCTTCACGGCGCTCCAGGGCGCGGCCTTGAACGGTCACCGGACCGCCGTCCGTCGACTGTTGGCGGCTGGGACGGATGTGAACGCCCCCGGCGCGCGGTACAATGGCTACACGGCCCTGGCGGCAGCGGCCGAAGGCGGCCACGCGGACATTGTGCGACTCTTGCTGGACGCCGGCGCGGATGCCGCCATGGTGTCTGGGAATAAGAGTTGGACAGCCTCGCGGTTTGCGGTTTGGCGGGGACAGAAGGAGATCGTGCAGCTTCTAAGTAACTAATCATGCAAATGAAGTTTGCTTACGAGAAGTAGTTTGTGGATGGAATTATTGCAGTACGCTCGGTGTAGTCAAGTTGTCGATAGATGCGCGCTCAGTTGGTGATCTGTATTGGCAGTAGGGTATGAAAACGCAGCTTGATTCCAACGCAGAACTCAATTCGTGGTGACAGTCATATTTGGTGCTGGTGACGGTGAGTGGCTTTTGCGGGGTGAGCTAGACGAGTATCGCATGGTCGAGCCACCTGGTTGCACCGACAATGTGTTGCTCCTACAAGAGCAGCGGCATCCGCGTTTCGCCAAAGAACGACTTCGAGTATCGACTTATGTTTTGCTAAGGTCGAGGAGAGCGTAACCAGTCATGTCGAACCCCGCGCTTCCCGTGGGTCTGGACGTCACCGCGCAGGTGGCGCATCGGCCAAATCAGCCGAGTCATTCAACCATCAACCCAGACTCGGGACTAGGGCTAAGGTTCCACCATCTATCATCTATAATACGTATTAACGGGCCCTACCTCCTCCTCTCACCTCCACCCAATCCAACTTCACATCATAAGTCAATCAATCCATCAAAAATCAACCTTTTGAAAAAGAGAAACATCCAAAATGCCTCAAATAATCCCCTACTCCATCCCCCCGACCCCCCTGATCCCCAACTCCCACAAACCCCTCCTCCTCTACAAGAACTGCTTCCTCGACCCGGCCACCGGCACCGTCAACGCCCAACTCGCCTACGATACCTTCCGCCAGAACCACTGGACCCCGCGCTGGATCACCACCTACGGCCACGCCCAGCGCTCCCACTACCACCCACACACCCACGAGGCCATGGTCGTTCTGTCGGGACCCGGCCGCATCCGCTGGGGCACCGCCGACCTGGCCGACGATCCAGCCAAGCATACCTACGGCGTGGCGGGCACGGACTTCGAGGAAGGCAGTGTCTTTGTGGACGTCGAGGCGGGAGATCTCTTTGTCATCCCGGCGGGCGTGGCGCATAAATCTTATGATGTTGCTACCGCGAACGAAGAACCCGTGGCGTGGACGGGGAGTGGGGCGCAGAGGATCGAGGCGGCGGATGAGAGGGCGTTTGTGGGGGAGTTGCAGGCCACCGGGAAAGTGAAGGGGTTCACTATGATGGGGGCGTATCCCGGGGAGGCGACCTGGTCGTGGGCGGAGGGAGGGGAGCATGTGGGACGGTTTGAGGAGGTTTGGGGGGTGGAGAATGCGGTGCTGGATCCGGTGTTTGGGCGGGAGGGGGGGATTCATGTTTACTGGGGGAAGGGGAAGGGGAAGGGAAAGGAGAAGGGGGTAAAAGCGGCGCTTTGAGGGATCAGTTAATGTAAGCACTGTGTGGATCTTATCATGTATGTATCTATGCATATCGAGACCTCTCAGCTTTCTGGTATGTATTCAGCAAACTGTCATCTGTGCAATCATAGAATGAATCATCCAGAAAGTGTCAACACGATGGTGCAAATCAAATCGATACACACAACATGACATTCATAAATCTATCCATCCATGACAAACCCCTCCCATCCCCCCTTAACACACTCCCTCAAATGTTCCTGATACTTGGGCAACCCCCCCATATACCCCAGCGCCTCCCGCTTCTTCCCCGGCACGTTGCCCCCCATATACCACGTCGTTTCATTACTCCCCATGAGGGTACGCGCACACGCCTCGTCCGTGACCTGGGCCCACCGCTCCTCCATCTCCGGCTTGACATCGACCGTCGCATACCCACGCTCCCGCATATACACCATCGTGGCCAAAATCCACTCCGCCTGGATCTCCGAGATCAGGGGCCCGTTCGCAAACGCGGTGGGACTCTGCGGCCCGTACTGGAAAAAGAGATTGGGAAAGCCGGCCGTCACCATGCCGAGATGCGTGCGCGTGTGGACGCGCCACTCCGCCGCCAGGTCTCGGTTCTGGTTGGTGCCAGTGATGTTGAGCCGGGTGAAGCTGCCGGTGACGGCGTCGAAGCCCGTGGCCAGGATCAGAGCGTCGAGGGCGATGGTCGTGCCGTCGGCGAGCTGGATCCCCGTGGCTATTACCCTTGCGATTGGGTTCTGCTTCAGGGGGACGAGGGTGATATTGTCCTGGTTGAAGACCTCGTAGAAGTGCTGTTCGAGGGAGGGGCGTTTCGTGCCGAAGGCGAAGGGCGGGCGCGTCGGGGCGAGGTGCTCCACCAGCTCTGCGCTGCACGTCAGTCGAGCGCGGGTCTTGTCGCGCCAGAACTCGTAGAACAAGGTGTTGGCGTCCAGGCTGGTCATCATGTCCTGGTAGTTGCCGTGGGCGGGCGCGAAGCCCCCCTTCGCCCAGAGCCGCTCGTACAGCTCCTGCCGCTGGACGGGGCAGTCATCCGCGGCGTTACGCGGGGTCGGGGGGTCGTCCGACCCCGTCAGGGAGAGACGCATGTGGGCGAACAGCTTGGGGTAGGAGGCCTTATCTGTTGTCATTTTCTTCCCCATCACCGTCTGGCGACATTGCCGCAACTGCTGCTGCCGCATCGGCAACGCGCAATTCGGCGAGCGCTGCAACACGACCAACTCCCCGACCTTGGGCCCTAACTCCTGAATCACCTGCACACCTGTTGCTCCGGTTCCCATGACCGCGACCCTCTTCCCTTCCAGGTCCACCGCCTGGTCCGGCCAATCTGCCGTATGACACATAAACCCTCCGAAATCCTCCAACCCCTCCAACGCGGGGATATACTTCTTGACCGCGAACCCCATCGACAAGATCAGAAACCTGCATTCCACGCAATGGCCGCGACTCGTCTGCACCTTCCACATCTTGGTGGTATCATTCCACCGCGCATCGGTCACCCGCGCCCCAAACTCGATATCCCGGCTGAGGTCCCACTTCTGATCCACGAACGCGAAGTATCGTAGGATCTCCGCCTGGCCCGGGTGCCGCTCGGACCACTCCCACTCGTTGTAGAGGTCGGGGTCGGAGAACTCGTAGAAGGGGGTCTTGGTGTCCACACGTGCGCCCGGGTACCGGTTGTGGTACCATACCCCGCCGAGGCCGGCGCCTTCTTCGAAGACCCGGGTGTGGAAGTTGAGCTTGCGGAGCTGGTGCAGGAGGTTGCAGCCGCCGAACCCGGCGCCGACGACGATGGCGTCGTAGTACTCCGGGATGGGGGTGTAGGAGCCTATTCTTGGTCTCGTGGTTGTGTTGGTGGGAAAAGGGATGATGCGGAGAGTTAGGGTTGTTAAGTTGGTGAGTGATGGAGAGGTTGGTGGGGTTTAGTTATGTGGTATTGGGTTAATGATATCGATGCTTTACACTTTATATACTATATTCCTGAACGAGAGCTCTAGCTGTAGAGCCCCTTGTGTTGTGTATTTGAGCGAGAATTGCTCTTTGTTGCAAGTGGTATACTCTTCACTTCCCTCTCTGCATATCAATTCGGGTGGCTCTCCGGGCCAAGCCTCACAACCGAAAGATAAGCGACGGACATGAGCCTACGGCCAATTTGGCCGATATGGACATCCCATTGGATGAGGCGGCGGCCCACATGCGGGAATCTCGGATCGGAGGTGGGGGCCGGAATGAGGGGATTGGGAAGTGTCTTGATGCCCGGCATAGTGTATCTATACATGTACGTATGTTTGTATGCCTGTATGCATGTATATAATGTATGTTTCCATATATGCTATTTACGTCCGTATGTGCTGTACTGCCCTTAGGGCAAGAGGAACAAGTAACAGGAAGCTTCTATTGCCGTGATGTCACTGTCTGTTTTTGAAGGTGTGATTGGCCGATGGCCTGTATAAGTCAAATCAAGCTTAAGAACCAAAGCCCGTTGTCAAATAGTACTGCTATGCCCAATCAACTGCCAGCTATCTGCGTAAACTCAGCAAACGGCCACGCCAGACTGTTCACATCCAGCGAGTTCGCCAACTCCAGCAACTGGTCGGGGCTCAGCTCGTAATGCTGTGTGAACCCATCCACTAAGCCGAGCTCCAAGCCCGGCTGCTGCGTAGCATACCCTGCTGGATCATTAATTGGCGGTACAACAGCCCCGCTGCCTGCATCCACCACCACCGGGTCCCCCTCATGCGCTGTCGGCAGCGGACACATGCCAGTCCCCGGTAGAGCTAGAGCCAAATGACCACCCTTCACCAGCTGGCCTAATTCGGTGTCGAGCTGCCTCAGCTCCGCCCCGACCAGCTTTGCCGCCAGATTCCCCCGTCGGTGCATCTCGTCCAAGATGGCGTAGGCGCGCTGCGACCAGGGGGCGTGGTCTGACAAGAGCGAGGGGTCGATGGCCGCGGCCATGATGAGGGGCATCGTGGAGATGGAGGTGGCGTCCACGTCGAAGGGGAGGAATGTTTCTTCCGTGGTCGAGAGTCAGCGAGTGGGGTATGGTTGTGGTGAGATGCAAGGTATACGTACCTAAGAGTCCCTGCTCCAGGAGATTGGAGAGAATTCTGAGAATCTGTTGGGCGGATTCCAGGCAGATATGTAGGAGAGAGTGGACGGTCCCGGACTTTAGCCAATCCAGGAGAGATGGGTCAGAGTGGCCGAGTTTGGATTGGAGGAAGATGTAGAGGAGGGGCCTCGTGGTGAGGATTATGCACTGCTCCCATAAGCCTTTTATCCCTGGGACCAAAGGAAGACCGGAAATTGAAAGAACACATAGTTATCTCAATGACTGTGATAGAAATACGACGCAGGGAGTATGAGAGTCCTACCTGATGCTCTAGAAGATGCAAATGTGCTGAGATCCGTGAGATGCCGCCCATTTCGCTGTTCGCGTACAAATCGAACGACCGGTTCAGCTGCTCGGTGACTTTGGCGATGTCGCGGAGAACGGACTGGGTGGCGCTCAGGTAGCGGCTATCTAATTTCCCTTCGCTGCCGTAGACAGCTAGCAGCCAGGAGTTAGCCAGGGGAGCTAAGATACGGCGACAGACGTGAGCGGGTCAGCACGCACTCAAGTCCACTTTTACCAGAATCTGGCAGAGCACCACTTGCATCTCCAGTACATTGACACCCTGGATCTGCCCTGAGATCGATGGAAATGGAGCACTGATGCTCTCCTCGGAGATCCCCATCGGTACCCCAAGCAGGGAGGACATCCGACGCTCGAGGGCATAGACGGTCCACCACACCAGGCTGCAGCGCTGGACGTATGCTTCGTCGAGATAGGGCCCGCGCATTCCAGTGTACATGCCGTGATCAAGGGCCCAGCGGAGGGCAGTCCCGATCTAGACTGTCAGTATCCGGGGCACCTTGGAGGCAAGAGAAGAAGAGACGGGCGCTCCTCACCATACGGTAAGCGGGCCCGCGCCGGTGCCCGCACTGAAGATAGAGCGCCGCGCAACATAGGACTTGCGCCATCTCGATCGGATCGCCGTCGAACAAGCTCAAGTCCGGCATGCACTGCATCGCTTGGATGAAGTGCTCTGCCCCCGGGGGACTCTGCGACCTGACGCTCTGAACCACAAAGCTTTTTCCAAAGGCGAGAATTAGCAGGTAGTGTGCGAACCATAACGGTGAGGCCTGGGCTTGCTCTGCGGGATTCCGCTGGAACACCTCCAGCTGCTGCATGAAGCGGTCCTCCTTGAAGAGATAGAATAGCTGTCCGCAGTGGAACTTCACAAAGTTGATGAGGTATTTGACAAAATCTGGCGAAGGCAGGTGGGAGACATCAAATATATCCGTTGCATTTTTAGACCGAGTACCATCCCAGTTGAGGCGGTATACATGGTTGTCGAATAGCAGGGATTCCGGGTCTGGCGACAGTGGGATTCCGGTGAGTCGCTCGTGCGTCATCCCTAACACTCGCCGGCTGAAGGCCCAGCTGGACGATGTGCCCATGAATACTATGACGGTTAACCATAAGCCGCCGTTGTTGAAACCTCTAATAACCACGAATACGCACCTGGTCGGCCCGTGGGACCAGGAACCCAGTCCATTATGTGAAAAGCGAGGGGGTTTGTAAGAGGTGTTGTTGCCTCCATTCTCACGTGAGCTCTTGCCGCTTGACCAGGAGCAACATCTTGGGACGGTAAGCGTTGTTCTCGCCTAGTATGTGATGATCGCGAGGCTTGCAACTCTGGTAATGTTGTATCCTCAGCTACAAGATGTTGGTCTATGATAGCAGTATCCGCATGCTGGCTAGGGCCATCGGGCGTCGACGTAGGAGAGCGAGGCAGGTTAGCCTTATGCTGGAACGCAGCTAATCGATCGTGGAGATCATTGAGATATCTGCACAGCCGTGGACCTGATTAGATAGCTGATAGTCCCAGCCAAAAGTTTTCCGCTTGCCTTCGAGTCACCAGAATCTTCTCCGAGGGGCTATCAAAATCACACGTCAAGGCGCGTTTATGACATTGATCGCAGGGATGCGAGCCCGTGCATCTGATCTTCTGATCCCGACATCTCCGGCAGCTGGCTTTTTAGTCAGTCGATGGTTGGCGTACGGCTGTGGGAGATAGGACCAACGCTTTGCTCACCCGCCTCGTTGCCTTTAGCGAGCGTCTGGCAGCAGTGCCACGATGTGGCATGTTGGAGATAGTGGAGTATGCGTTGAAGATGGGGACTTGCCCTGGCTCAAGTGGGGAGTGAATAGAATACGAGCCACAAGTGTCGGGACAAGTGGCCGTGGTCTGCATTTATACCTAGTCTTAACTCTAACTAGTACAGTACTCCGTCCGCAACCCCTCTTTCATATCTACTCGCTTATCCGGACACGCCTGCCTAGTCTGACGGATGAGGGGTCGAATCCACGCCGGATTAGGGCTGCACTTATCGTAGACCTAACATGACTCCATTTATCCTCGGGCTCTATACGTCAATTTCCATTTCTTCTATAGTCTGTACGTAATACCCCGTACTTTCCCCGCATTTCCTGTATTCTTGGCTTAGGGCTTGACATTCCCCGGCATCAACCACAAATGGGATGTCACGCATTCGATTCCGCTGAAGGCATGAGCGTCCGCTTTGTACCTTTGCATCGTGCCTCTGAGATATAGGGTATGCTTTGCTTGCCACATATCGGGAACACAGATAAGTCCTCCCGGACCGGTAATGGCATCTGGAAAGATAAGCACTGCCTCCGGCTATAGAACCGACCCTTTGTGCACGTAATATTCGTTCCCATCGTGTAAGAATTGGATTGTATCATACGCTCAATGATCCTTTAACCAAAGTCTCAAGATGTCAGACATCCGACCCTTAACACCTACCGCAACCGATAAGTCCAAAGCGGAGCCTCCTGCTCCTATCGCAGAAGATGCAGTTTTCGGCGAGATCATTGAAGATGGTTCCAACTACAGAAATGTAAATCTACCATTCGTTTGATATCGAGGCCTATTCACTAACCAAGCAAGGTCGGATGGCTCGGGACTGTGGCTCTTATGATCAAGACCCAGTTTGGCCTCGGGGTCCTTGGCATCCCACAGGTCTACGACACTCTCGGCCTCATCCCTGGGGTCATATGTGTTTGTGCGATTGCGGCCATTACAACATGGTCGGACTATGTTATCGGCACGTTCAAACTCCGCCATCCAGAGGTCTACGCCATTGACGATGCAGGGGAGTTGATCTTTGGTCGGCTCGGGCGTGAGGTTCTCGGTGTCGGGGTGTGTATCTGTACGATCCCATTTCTATGCTTATCGTATTGTCTCGAGCTGATACAGTACAAGACTGGATCTTCTGTACGGGCTCCGGTCTACTAAGCACGTCCATTGGGCTCAATGCGGTCTCAGCTCATGGCACATGCACGGCGGTCTTTGTTGCTGTGTCTGCGATTAGTGCGTACTGTTTGGCAAGTATTCGGACGCTGGGAAGGATCAAATGGACTGCATGGGCGGGGGCGGGGAGTATTCTTACTGCTGGTGAGTGGCCTTCCTATCCTGACTTAGAGACAATCGGCTAATCCTGAAATTCCTTATAGTCTTGATGGTCACGATCGCAGTTGCACTTCAAGACAGGCCCTCGACGGCTCCTCAAACGGGCGCGTGGAAGTCGGACTACAAGCTCGTCGGCCGTCCATCTTTTGTCAAAGCCATAACTGCTGTCTCTTCCGTGGTATATGCCTTTGCCGGTACTCCCGGTGAGTCTATCTAAAGTGATAGTCGTTGTCGCGAGAATGAAATGCGAGTATTGCAAACGCTAAATCCGTCCACCCAGGATTCTTCCCTATAGCAGCAGAGATGCGCAATCCTGCCCTCTACACCAGAGCCCTTCTCATTTGTCAGACCGCCGTGACGGCGACATACATTTCCATCGGGACAGTGATCTACTATTTCTGCGGCTCCTACGTCGCATCGCCTGCTCTCGGATCTGCCGGAACCTTGATCAAGAAAGTCTCCTATGGCATCGCTCTTCCCGGCTTAATCGCCAGTACGATTATTGTCTGCCACGTGAGTCCCCATCGCTACGGTCCTATCCTTAGTTGACATATCTAACACCTTATTCATGCATCTCAGTTTTCTAGCAAGTACCTGTTCGTTCGCATCCTCCGAGGCTCCAGCCATCTGACCGCAAACACATTCACCCACTGGGCTACCTGGCTCAGCTGCACTTTGGCCGTCACGGTCTCTTCGTACCTCATCGCCAGCGGGATTCCCATCTTTAGTGACCTAGTGTCCTTGATCGGCGCTCTCCTCGGGACACTTATGTCCTTCCAGCCAATGGGATGCATGTGGCTGTATGACAATTGGACGCGGGGTCGCGAGCAGCCAACCCTCCGATGGGCGCTGTTGTCTCTGTGGAGCATGCTGGTGATTGTTTTGGGGACGTTTCTCATGGTTGCGGGCACCTATGGATCGATCGAGAATATCATCGCGACGTCTCGGCAGAAAGAGTCGGGGGGGTCGGCCTGGTCGTGTGCTGACAACTCGAGCTCATGAGATTTTCTGTTGAATCAAGTCAAGCTGCGGTGCTTGAGGCAAGGAACCATACACTGGTTTATAAGAGCTTTGTGATTGATGAGCTTTGTTGCTTATTCAAAAGTAGACAGAGTAATTGCATTGAAATCAACAGTATGTACAGACATGCCCCCAGCCCTACACAAGCGCTTTTGGGATCTATCACAGAATCTAGCCCTCCCCCGTCACCACCACCACCGTCTACCACATCATCCTTCCTCTATTCATCTCTCTACGCCCAACCATAAACCCAAGCTCCTCGCTAACTCACCCACCCTCCTCCCAATCATCCCTCCTCCTTACTCCCCGGCGTAAAAAGAAAAACAAGCGTCACAAAAGCCTTACACCCCGCGCAAACGAGCAACGTAACCCTCGAGCCCGCGACCTTCTCCACCGCCGCACCGACAAAACACCCGGCCGTCAACAGCCCCAAAAACAGGACCCTGCGATTCCTCTTCCGATTCCTCCACCTCAGCAAGGCCGGATCAATGACCACATCCACATACGCCGCCGTGGCCATCGCCGTCGTGATATCCGTGATCTTCAGCGCCCGGCCCATAGCCACCTGCGCCCCGGACGAGAACGCCAGCAGGAACAAGGTCGCCAGCGTGGTGGCCTCCCCCTCCTTCTCTGCCTTCTGCCCTACCTCACGAGATGCGAAGCGGTCTGGCCGACACATCCCCGCCGCGGCAAAGACCATCCCCGTCTGCAGCAGACTCGAAGCCAGCAACCACCAGCGCCGCCGCACGGCGCCCAGCCCGTTCCCCAGCTGGCCCAGCACCAGCCCGCCGGCCACGAACGCCCCCAGACTCATCCCCAGATGGCGGAAGGAGTAGTCCTCCGAGCTGGCGAGTCCCGCGCCCCCGATCGCCAGGAAGAGCAGGTTGCCCGTTTGGTTAGAGGCGAAGCAGCCGTAGTCCCGCCAGGCGGCGGCGTCTTGGATGCCGATCGCGAAGGAGAGGAGGAGGAGTTGTGCTTCGAGGGTGAGGTCTTCGTGGATTGAGTGGGTGAGGTAGCGAGTTAGCTGGCGTCTGCGCGAGGTTTTCTTCGTGGGGTGAGGGTGCGTGCTGGGGAGGGGGAGGGCTATGGGTTCTTGGTCGCATGGAGGAGGCGGAGACGGGGGAAGGTGTGCGGATGGGCGGTGCTGGTCGGTATACATGGTTGTGTGTCGTGCATAGACATCCTCGTGTGATATGTGAGGGTGGTGGAATGTAGTGTGCAATGGGTGGGGGCAGAGCAATATGAGGGTTTAGGGTGCTGTGAGTGGGGAGCTCGGGGATCCCTCTGTCCTGTCCAATGCTTTCTCTCCCACTGAGCTTTTTTCTTTCAAGTTCTAAATGGGCTTGTAGAAGAAGAGCCGACTATTACTCAGAACTAGGTCTACGTTGTGTGGGTTCTATACTGAACGACTTGGTTCAGTGCCGTTGGCATCGGCGATTGGAGTTCGCCGTCTCGGATGGAGCCCGGGTCGGCGTTTGCCCCGTGGAGGACTTCTTCACGAGTGCGAAATCGAAGCTCGACCCAGGAGAACCCCAGAGCTGATAATACCAGGGGTATGTCAATTATGAGGCTACACCTAGTCATAGTCAAATTATGTTATCTATTGTATGGCGAGACTCTTATGCGTGGAGACCTCCCGGCCAGTTGTTGCCTCAGGCCTGTCTGTGAACAGCACTGGGAGAAATTTACGGCCTATCAGTGCAACGCCGACCAAGATACTGGATGCATATTTCACAGTCTGGGCTATTTTCTTGAGCAATTGACTGCTCGCCATCCATGGCTCCTGATTCGTGGTGAATCGTATACCACGGGATAGTGTACGTAATCCAGCCATGCATGCAGCCACACGGGAGTTCTTGCCCGCGTTTTAAGAGCATATCAACGATATCAAGCAAGCTATTCGCAACAGTGCCCAGAAAACCTCGACCGGGACACTTCACTATGATAATGAAGCCTTGCCTTCTCACCTCTGGGCTCTTCACCCACCGGAAGAAAGGAACACCTCTCTTGATTCCGGAGAAGCGCGCCTCACAGCCCCGTCGCCAGCCCTGACCCGACCCTGTCAGGCTCCAAGGGGCCAGTGCTTGCTGATCTGACCATCCTGCTCGCTTCTAGCTTCTTTGATGTCTCGCCCGCACGTGAAGAATAACTCACACAGAATCAGATGTAGTCAGGGTTCTCGAGCCCCTGAGCCGGGGCCACCGCCGCCCCCGAGCGCTGAAGCCCCCATTCGCCTTCTCCGATGCGCTTGCCGCAGTACTTGACCAGAAGCCCCACCGCGGCCGGCCCGATGATCGTGTTGAGCAAGATCGCCCAGACGCCTGTGATGAAGCCCTCCTCGCTGACGTAGGATGTCTCGTTATAGCCGATCTCGATGATCAGGAGCCCAATCTCGCCCCGCGCGACCATCGCAGACCCCAAGAGGAAGGCTGAAAGCCATAGTGTGGTCGCAGGGTCTTTTGCCTCCCCATTCTCCGGACGCGCCGGGCTCCCGTGTTCCAACCCACCATTCTCTACCGCCCCTGACCTCGGCTTCTGCTTGCGAAAAGGCCCCCGGCCCCAGATCGGCACCCACACTCCCACGACAAACTGTTTGCAAACCGGAAATCCAAGCAGTGAGCGAGAGTGCGGAGCAGAAAAAAAAAGGAAGTTATCTTCCCGGAAGGAGAACCTCTTACCTTGGCAATGACCATCAGAAGCGTGAAGACGATCCCGCGCCAGATCCGCCGGCCGGTCCAGAGCTGCACGAAGGGAATGGCGAAGCCGATGCTCGCGAAGAACAACGGCTCCATCAGGTACTTCTGGACGTCGACGAGGTAGCGCTCGAAGGTGTGAACGAAGGTCGGGCTCTTGTGCGCCAACTTCTCGCCTTCCTCCCGGCTCAGCACCACGAACGGGCCCATCGGGTGCTTGCTGGGGAGGTAGGTGAGGAACGTGCCCGCCAGGAAGGCGCCGAAGAGCACCGAGGTCCCCGCGTAAGCCGCGATCGTGATGAACGCGCACAGCGACAGCGTCATCAGCACGATGTTGGAGATGTGGTCGAACCGCGCAAAGTCGTGCTCGATGAACCGCCGGAACCCCGGCGCGAACAGGTATTTGGTCACCAGCGGCGTCACGATCGCCATCGCGATCGAGGCCACGATCGGCCGCCCGATCAGCCAGCCGAGGTTGACTCCGCCGCCTTCGAGCTGACCAAGGTTTTCGATGACGCTGGGGAGGAGCGAAATGCGATTGTCAGTATGAAAGGTCTTCCCAGCCCTCGGAAGGATTGTGCCAGGAGTAAATGCGCACAAACCTTGCCATGACAAGCCCAACCACGTCGTCAATAACCGCTGCGCTGACCAGGACAGCGCCTACTCGGGTCTGTGCAAGATCGACGGTGCTGGAAGCGGAAGAGATCACTGCAAAAGTTGTACCTTGGCAGTGTAAGCAAACGACCCATTGAAGGGATCGACAGAATGGTGAGCCACAGCTTCCTGCTTACCCAGAGAGGTCGCAGATAGCGCTGCTCCAATGATAAAGGTTTCTACAGCACCTGGGAATCGTAAGCCTGATTATGCAGAGACGGAGATATGTGCATGGATGAGGAAGCCCACCATATCCAAATCCGAGATAGAGAAGCAGGTACGACAGGCCAATGGGAAAGCAGACCCCGGTGGCTGCACCAAGCATACTAAGCACCAGATTTGCCCGTAAGAGATCGAGGCGAGCGCTCAGACCACCTGGAAAAGAGAGCGTGAGTGCTGAGTTCAAGGACCACCAGATCAGCGCGGCGGGGGGGGGGGGGGGGCACGACATGAGCCGTGTACCTTCGAATATGATCAAAATCAAGCCAACATAGCCGAGAGATAGGAAGGTTTCTTGCCAGTCCAGTTCAAGGATATCGGCGAGCGGTTTGCCGTAGATGATACCAACCGCGATTTGGCCGATGATGCCGGCGCGAATTATCTTCGCTGAAGCCCATTCTGCCAGGGACAAGATGAAAAAGAAGGAAATCAGGATGAGGATGTCGACAACTGCATATTGATCAGAAGACTGGATATCGAAGAGTGTCTAGAGGGAGTGTGGGCGACCGTACTTCCTGGCTCATGATAAGGTAGAAAGCCTCCCGCCATGGCACAAGAGCTTCGCCAGTGGAACGATCCGAGTATTTTTGTTCACAACTCAAGGTCTTTAGCGGAAAGGGGGGGGGGGGGGGGGGTAAGGGAGATTTAATTATTTGTATCCAAAGCGAGCGAGACTCTCTCACTTTCTTGCCTGGTTTCTAAGAAGTTTCGGGCTGCACGGAATAATAAAGTGGTAGCGATTACGGCGGAACTTCAAAAAGTCCACCGCTCCAAGCACGTTGTCATCGATTCCCTTGGCATAATTTAATTCGTGCAGGATGAGGTCCCCGGGGCCCACCTATCCAACTTTCCGCGAACGGAACGATGTCCTCATTCTGGAGTAATGGATGGATGCCATCGGTTGGCAGGTGGCGGTATCTTCCCATCAGGGTTTGCCAAGAACTTCCCGAAAAGTTGGAACCAGCCGTCAGCCTGCCTGGCCATGCACCGTGAACATTTTTCCTTAGTAATACCTGTTAAACATATATATACCGAGTAACGCTTCTCGCCAAGACCCGCCGAGGCCAGCACAGTGGAACAGTGGAGTAATGACACTTGGCGCAACAGCGGAAAGAGCGGGATTGGGCATTGTTCTTGGCCTGAGTTGTCCGACTCCATGCTAGTGTGCTTGGCTCGAACCAGAATCGATCCTCAATACGAGCGAACTACACACAGGGCCACGAACAGAGGGCATAGCGGACTAGGGGCGCCCAGCTCGGCGTGGTCCGAAAATAACTCCGTGTGATTCAATATTCTGCCCAGGATGATAGAGGATTTTGGACTATGATGAACGTTTTCTGGACCCCGCTGAGCTGGCCCCCGGTGGACTAGCTATGCCATCGTGCAGTGAATAGGATCAATTAAGACCAAGACTTTACCAAAACAAAAGCAAAAACATACAACAGAAGGGATTTGCTGGTCGTTCACCTATTCAACTACTAGCGGAGAGTCCTCGGGGGAGTCCCTTAAATAGCCTATAAAAGCCTATAGTACGAAAGTGCTGGGAATGTTGAGTAAGTTTGAGATAGGCGGAAGTAAAAAGAGAAGCAGATAGAAAAGATGAAGATGGTGGTTGATTCCTCTACGTGAGGCTATCGGAGAACTAGTAGCTAAGGCAGCCGGGTGGGCGGTGAGCTGGCGGCTCAGGCACCAAGGCCCCGGGCCGCCGTCAAGAATAGATATTCGGATTAACAAGAATACTGTGACTGCTAAAATCAGTTATATTGGTGATAATCAGCGGGCCATCTAGTGATTGAGCTGGTGATGGGGGTCCAATAATTTGGCTGAGACAGTAGAAGGAGACGGGGCTGATGGCGAGCGTGATGGAGACTTTGAACTTTTGGATGACGCCCGAAATGCTCGCGACGTAGACGGAGTTGCCATAGATGCTGGGGAGAGAATGAGTCAGCATCGACAGCTCTGAGCCCACCCGGAAGAGGAAGTCTTACACAGCGAATGGGGCGATACAGACTCCGATCACAAAGGTCAATCGTCGGGCATAGGGCCAATTCCGCGGGTTTTCAGGGTCGTCTAGGTGACCAGATTGTTGTTTTGCCATCGATGGCGCACAAGTCTGGACCGCCATCAGTTCAGTGATGCATTGGTAATATATATATAAGCCTGTGGTGCGTAGATGTGGGAGTGACAAAATGGATATTTATGATTGAGCTTTGTATCAATGAGCGGGGCCTCCGAGGCGGCTGAGGTCGGCTTTGGCCCGCTAGCGGAGTTGGCTGACAGTGGGCGACCATGAAGCCCGCATGTATAAATATCTGGCAGCTAGAGCAGATCGCTTGGAGCCTCATTCAACTAAAAGCCATCTCCTTCTTATCTGATCACAATGCTGGAACATATCCCTCCCATCTACACCTTACGTCCCGTCATACTCTACGTCAGTGCAATGTCCCCGTCTCCCCCTCCAGTATCTCCATCTCCGTCTCCACAGCCCTAACATGGACCCACACCATAGATTGCCGGGTTGTGTGTCTATCAAATCTACTTCCACCGTCTCCATTAACACCCTGGACCCTTGCTGGCCAAGCTTACGAACTGGTATGCCGCATACTACACGTGGCAGGGCACCATCCATCTCAAAATCCGGGAATGGCATGATGTGTACGGTACGATCCCTGAGGCCAGCGTCACCCACAGACACATGCTAACGGAAGCCACAACCTCGACCACAGGCCCGATCGTGCGGTTCGGCCCCGACTCCATCGACGGCAATGGCCCAAATCTATTCCGCTCGAGCCAACGTCCGCAAGGACGATGCATATTCTGTGATGAGCGCCAGCAGCCACATCCCCAGCACAATCAGCTGCCTGGATAAAGGCCAACATGCAGCCAAGCGCCGTATCCTTGCGCAGCTGTTTACCCCCTCGGCGCTGAAGGGCGTCGAGGAGCGCGTTTTGTCGCACCTTCGCACCTTCTGCGCCTCGCTCGGGGAGTCCAGCCAGGAAGGACGAGCGACGGACATGGCAGTACTGTCGGACTATCTCACCTTCGATATCATCAGCGACCTCTGTTATGGCCAGGCCTTTGGCCTCCTCCAATCCACGGCGCTTCGAATATATCCCAAATGTGATCAGCCGCATTAGTCGTCGGAACGCGATCGTAGGGTCTCCCTTCCATGGTCCATGACAAGTACTTCCAGAGGCGTCCTGGGGGAGAACCCCCAGACCCCCCTTTTTTTTCAGCTTCCCAAAAACAAACATGCACCCAGAACACCAAACCAGAGAGCTAACCGACTCCCGAGAACAGTGCTTCATCCATTCCGCGATCCAAAAATACCGACTCGATCGCCTGTTCCTCGCCCCCATCTCGACGCAGATCCGTGCATTCGGCCGCTGGATCCAGCAACAACAAAAAAGCACCCCCAAAAAATAACCCCCGACTTCCGCAGCCACCTCACCACATCTACCGTTACCCACCCCGGCCCTGACCCCCGGCCCCTGACCAACAAAGAGGTCTGGATCGAGCTCCTGCAGCTTGTCATCGCCGGCTCCGACACGACGACCGTGGCCCTCAGCGCGGCCGTCTTCCACTTCTGCCACCACGCGGCCGCCCTGGCGCGCGCCACCGCCGAAGTACGCACCCAATTTTCCACTACTGTCGAGGCCATCCGCCCCGGCAGCCCCCAGCTCCGCCGCTGTACCTACCTGCACGCCTGCATTCACGAGACCCTTCACCTGGCCCCGCCGGTGACGGGCCTGGCGCCGCGGCGGGTTCTCGAGGGTGATATCCAGGTCGACGGGGTGTGGCTCCCTGCTGGCACCGTGCTCGGCTGCCCCATTTACGCGGTGCAGCGCGATCGGACCTGTTTCCTTACGCCGGATTGGCATCTCCCTGGTCGGTGGGAGGATGTGTTAAACAATAGTTGTAAGGGGGAGGAGAGTGATGATATGGGCGTGGAAGAGAGGCAACAACAGCGGCAGAAACGGTCTCAGATGCTGTCGGCCTTCTGTCCGTTTAGTGTCGGGCACCGGGCGTGTGTGGCGCGGCGGTTTGCCATGGACGAGATCACGGTGACTCTGGCAAGGGTTCTGTTTCTGTATGACACGGCGCCCATCTACGACCGCTCCGAAGAGCTCCTGGGCCAGGCCCATGCCGCGGACCGGTTCGCCCTGGCCACCAAATTCCCCGGCGGGTTCCTGCCCGACCCGGCCACCAAAGAAGTCCTCCTCGCTGCGGCCGAAGAGAGTCTCCGAAAGCTTCAGACCGATCAAGTAAGCTCTCCCGGGCCTCTGTATCCTTAGCCTGTTGAGGTAGAGACCCGCAGACAGACAGCTGAGCTAACATAACCTCCCTCAGATGGACATTTACTACCTCCACGCGCCGGACCGCCGCGCCCCGCTGGCGCCCCTCCTCGAAGCCATCACGCACCTCCACCGCACCAACCGGATCCGTCGCTTCGGGCTCTCCAACTTCCTCCCCGCTGAGGTCGACGAGGTCGTCCGCCTCGTCCAGGCAAACGACTACCTCCGCCCCACCGTCTACCAGGGGAACTACTCGGCCATCGCGCGCGGGGCCGAGACGACGGGACTCCTGGACACTCTCCGCCGGCACGGGATCGCGTTCTACGCGTACTCGCCTATCGCGGGCGGGCTGCTGGCGAAGGAGGTGGAGCAGTTGCAACCACAGTCACCACAAATAGCAGCAGCAGGTTCATCCACTGAAGGGAATAGTGGTAGTGGTAGTGGTAGTGGTAGTGGAAGTGCAAGCGAGAGTGCCACGAACCGGGGAAGATGGGACCCCGCGACCACGCTGGGCGGGTTCTACCACGCGCTGTCAACACGCCCGTCATGCGGGAGGGCCTGCGGCTGTGGGGCGCGATCGCGCGGGAGGCCGGCCTTCCTCCGGCGGAGTTGGCGTACCGGTGGGTGGTGTACCACTCGGCCCTGCGAGGGGCGCACGGGGATGCGATCCTCGTCGGGGCCCGAAACAGCGGGCAGCTGGAGCAGACGCTGGCGGCGCTGCGGTGGGGGCCGTTGTCTGATGCGGTGGCGGCGCGGGTGGGCGCCGTCTGGTCCGTCGTGGCGGAGGCGGCGCCGCTTGATAATTATAATAATGCGGTGGTGCGGGAGATGTTTGGACTCGGAAAGGATTATTAGATGATTGGACAAGAAAGACAGAGTCTACCTATCTACTTATGTATGTGTTTCTTCTCGAATGATAGATTTTCACTCGATTTCCAACTCTGGCGAGGGAATATAGATCTCGAACTAAAGCAGAACCTTTCAATTTAGGACAGCAAGCTATTTGTACTGATTTACAAACGTCTAGTTTTTCTAGTATGTCTATACTTGGTAGATTTACAGTCCGAACTCTTTACCTAGCTAACATAGCTATCATATACAACATTCATCAGAGTATTCCGGGACTTTGATGTAATAGTGTTCTTAGATGAACATTTGTCTAATCCCAAACAGCCCTTATAATCTTAACATGCTTTGAAATTAGATACTTCTTAAAACTGGGTAGTTGAGGAGATTAGTGCCAGAAGCCCCAAAAACTAAAATAAGAGAAGCAGAGAAAAGTACCTAGTCAAATATAATATTAGTACCATTAGAATTCAGAGCGAATTGGTACAGATCAGCCAAATAAACCTAGGTCTAGTTACATACTGCGCAAAGAACATACAACAAAGTAAACATTGTTCACACCTGGAGAAATCAACAACTCAACACTTCCATTATGATTAACTAGAAACAGTCTCAAATTGTTGCCGCGCTACTTTGTTTCCCCAGAAGCAGGATCCCCGAAGCAGTCCCAATACACAGCGCCCTCCGATCTCGCCTCAACCGCCCACACCCCCTCCGCCACCCGCCCTATTGAGGGCACGACCCCGGCCGCCTCCACCGCCTGGATCCCCAACGCCACGTGCTTGACCATCAACTCGACGGGAAATCGGGGGACTGCGCCGCTTGACGACTGCCCCTTGGCACTGGAAAAGAAAGAAGTATGCTCCTTTTGGCTCTGCCGAGCCGCCTCCGCCATGCGCCACATCTGCTCCCCAATGAAAGTCTGCCCGGAAGAAGCCTGGAGGACCGACGCCTGCGCGCCTCGATGACGGCCAGGACGACGCTGCACACGACGTAGTTAATGCTGATTTTGGCGGGGAGGCTGGTATTGACCCCGCCGCTCTTTTCTTTATCAGTTTTGGGGAATTGGAGAAGGTGAAAGAAAGGGGGGTCTGGGAGTTCTCCCCCAATACTCTACGCTATAGGTGATCGATTGAGGGAATGAAGAAGCGGGAGTGGAAATTTGATAATATCTGTTGATTCTGTCTTTTTCTGATATATAAGATAGTTTTAGCCTTTTTAGTATGTAATACACAGCTGCCGGCTCGCTTGCCCAGTCGGTTCGCTTACCGATTACGGTATACAGGTGAGTTATTAGATGTGGAGCCCTGAGTCGGCAAGTGCCCGCTAGCTTCGAGATTGTATCCCGAAATGTGGGGTCTGCGACTCCACCAAACACAGGAACGTCCAATGCTGTACGGAGTGCTTAACATATATATTGCGTAGGTGGAGTCTTGCTCTGTATATTCTCGTGAAGGTCCTGCACCCAAGCCCACGATTACACAGTCGAACAATCCTTCATCAACTCAGATCCAGCATGTCTGCCTTGGCCCCCAACTGCGCCGCCAACCCTGCCCCCGCAAATGCTCCCGTGGCCATCGCATTTGTCACGGTCTTGCCCAGCGCGACACAATCCCCGGCCGCAAACATCCCCGCTACCGAAGACTGATACAAGGGCTCGGCAGCCTCAATCAGCCCGTGGGGGGTGCGCCGGCAGCCCAGCTGCGCCACTAGGTGCGCTCCTTGGAGCTCTGTCCTGGGGCGATTGACCACAAACCCCTCCACCACCGGCTCGCCCGTCGCGAACTGCAGGATCACCGTCGAGGCCACTTCGCCCTTGACCATGCGCACAATGCGTCGGGAATCCACCACCAATCTGGCCACCTCGTCTGGCCGCAAGAGGCCCCGGATATGCTCCTCCAATTCGCCCCCCTCCCCGTTCGTGTAGAGGGTCACCCGCTTGGCCAACCGTGCGGCCAGTCGGGCCATGTGCACCACGGGCCCAGCGGCCAGCAACTCCCCGGCGCAGAGCACCCCACAGGACTCCGCGCCTCGCTCTTCGTACCCGTGGCAGAAGAGACAGTGGAAGCTGGACCGTATGATTCACACTTTAGCAAAACCTCTTCTACAGCATTCTTATCCAATTCTCTGCGTCGGTGGGTAAGAGGGGCTAAACGCACATTTCACTCGCCCAGCAGTCAGTGTACCCCTCAATCGCGGGCGGGATGTCACGCACCCGATGGCGAGGACGCTCCGGCCGCGCCACACGGCTCCGGTGTGGTCGCGAGCGTGGAAGAGCCCCTGCGGGGCCTGCTCGATGCTTTGAACGTTGGCGTCATGGAATTGGATGGTACGATAGCGCGTGAGAAGGTTGGCTTTGGCGTCCGTGAGGAACCGCGCAGGAGGTTGGTGATCCCAGGTGAGCACGGCGTGCAGGTGCGCCGTGGGGCGGTTGCGCTGGGTCTGCGAGTCGAAGACGACGGCTGTATGGAGGCTGCGGGCCAGGCAGAGCGCCGCGGAGAGACCCGCGGGGCCTGCGCTGGTGATGAGGACGTCGTAGAGCAATGTAGGAGAAGATTGTGGTGGTGGTGGTTGGGGGAGACGGGATCCATGTTCTACTTATGTCCGGGTCTAAGCTCAGTGGGTCGGTTCGATCGGTCAATGGCCGCTAGGGCAGTTTGTGCTTTCTGGATCACGGTGGGGGCGTCGATATTAGCCAGAGATGTACGATGTATATTTCGCGACATACCGAGGACAAGGTAGCCACTTTCGTTGCCTTTCTCCTACGGACCTGACTAGGAACTGTGTATGTATCCGAATTGTTAGGAGTTCACCTACAAGCACAACGCAGACAAGACAAATCAACTAGGCTAAACCAGGATCATCGAAGTAGAGAGGCGGACCTGTTAAGCTTGGCAAGAATGGCAGACACCCGCATAGAAGACCTGGACAATCTAGTCAGCCATCAGACTTAGTAACCCTGGAGAAGTTGGGTAAAAGAGCTCAGTGGTCCTCGATGAGCAGATATCGCATTCCCTGTCTCCTGTAAATAATGCCTGAAGTGGAGAGAGGATAGTGGTTCCTTGAAGCGCTGCTTCGACACAAACTCTCGCGGGTCATTTCTGGACCTATCCCGACGAGGCCCGCCGCACTGATCCACCAACATTCTTTCTTGAGCTGGAAGGGTGGGGGCTGATTCCTCGATAAGGTGTAGTAGATCGGGGTACCACGTTCAACCGGACCATCTCTGGATAATGGGGGGTTTGACTCCCATTTGACTCCGAGTCTGAAGTTCCTGCTGCGTTGCACGAAGATTTCCATACTGCCTTCTCTTCTTCTTTCCAATGCAAAGTTTACAGGGGCCTTGCCACTATGGCTGAAAGTTCTGGCAAGAGAGGAGCCGTTGTTGTTTTGGAGAATGAGATTGATCATTTCCCCTGTTGTGCTGTGCTTTCCGTTCGAATAAAGCCACATGGAGAGGGTTATCTCCAAAGTTATTCCCACCGTGCAGGTGAGTAGCTGAGGAGGTCAAGAGGTCACGAACTCTCGAGACCGAAAGTCCATGAACTGCTTTCTGAAGCAGATTGTTTCCATGGCCGTCGGGTGGAACAAGATCAGTGTCTAAGAGTAGTTCTTCCAGCAGTTCGACATCCTCGATCTCTTCCGAAGCCCAGCGCAGCGGACAACGGCCATCAATCTCTCCAATGCACGCGTCAGCTCCCGCTTTCAGTAGCTGCTCGCAATTATCTAAGCCACGAGCGCAAAAAGCCCTGAGAAAGGGCGTCTGCTCACGCCGGTCCGGCGCATTCAGCGGTCTTGGATTCATTGCTAGCAGGCCGGAGATCTCCTCTGGTGTGCATGCTCGAGCCGCCGCATGGAGGACTTCACCCAAGCTAGTCCGGCAAGTCCTGGAAATCAGTATCGGGCAAGTCTAAAAGACAAACCAATGACATCCTGGTTTCGCTGCTGCAATTCGAATATGAGGGGGGTTCTACCGGTTCATGCGACTTACACTATAGCCATTTATACTTTCTAACTCGAAGTCAGCCTGAGCTCGTGTTCAACTCTCTTTAGCCAAGACAAATCGATCGCTCCAGCTCCAACTCAATTTCGCAAATCACCAGCTAACCACAATAATCTTATGGTTCACCCGTATGAGATCTCATCCATGGTATCTTGTGCCTTTATTTCTGATTACCTTCATTGAGCCATGTCTCTGCACCTTGGTGAAGGGGCAGTGGATTCTAGGTCGGACCGAAAATTAACTTTGCTCGTGTTCAAGATAGCTGCTGCGAGGTGGAACCAGAGAGTGTTGGTCTCTACACGGAAGGGTTTCCTCCAGATTTCTTGAAGATGACTTCAACGACTGGGTTTCCAGCTGGCCTTTGGTTCTTTGAGCTATCCTCATCAAGTGATCCATGCTTGCCTACAAACTATTTATATTGCCGTCTGCCTCCTGGCCTAAGGACTTCTCGTTGAAGGGCAAATTCCCGAGATCTCAACCTCAAAACAATAAGTCCTTCTCCTTCGAGCAGAGATGTATTCCAAGATCGGAGCGATCGTTCTGGTGATTGGTGGCATGATGATGTCTGGTGCTGCAGCACAGTCCGACCAATGCTCCGCCCAACCCTGCTATGAACGCTGTGTCCGAGATAGCTATCAATGCCTGAACGAATGCTGGAACATCGCATCGCAAATCCAAAACAGACGCCAGGCAAATCGGTTCCACGCAAATTGCCAACGGGGCTGCGACGATGGAATCTCCAACTGCATCTTCCAACAATGCGACGTCCAATGCCCTGTCGTCGCGGACAGCGGTGACCCCGACCAATGCCACGAAAGCTGTGAGCGCAACGCACTCCTGGACACGATCCGATGCATCACCACTCGGCCCAATTCCGCGAACCGCGACAGTTGCATCGGAGCCGCAAACTCCAAGCACCGGGGCTGTCAGGCCGAGTGCCCACCCCGTGAGCCGGTCGGCGGCTGCAAAGACGGCTGCATTGCTGATTCGATTGTGGGAATTGGCCGGTGCGTTCTGGCACCACAGAACCCGGCGAGTCGAGCGCTCTGCAATCAGGCGGTGGAGTCGGAGCGGATAGAATGTGAGGAGAAGTGCGACAAGGCCCCGTCGGCCACCACTGCAGCAACCACCATCACCACCCCCACGGTGACCCCTTGTCAGGGGGCGCCATCATGCGGATCGTTGATCACGCCCTGTCTCTGCGACTGTTTCAACGAGTTACATTGTGGAAATAACGCCTGTAACGAGGAGTCGGCTACGTGTGGCGACTCGGACGCCTGTGGCTGGCGCTACAGCGAATGTATCAGTGCGGTCGATGCCAAATTTAATACCTGCAAGGGCAAATGTCCGGCTTCTTGATTCTTTTTCTTGGTGTGAAACATGGGTTTCCGCTCGACCTTCACGTCCAAAAGTCAGGCCAATGTGATTAAGCCCCGGAGTCGGCACGAGGTGGATTTTGATATGTGACTGGCAACACAAACATATGCCGACAAAGTGTATCTATGATTCTATTAGGGCTAGCTATGTCATCTATGGGGAAAGCATTTGATTGTTCTACTTTGTTGCGAATCACGGAACCCGAATTTTCTTCCATACTTCACGTAGTGCTGTCTCCCCTCCTTCCAGGGACCAGGCACCTCTCGAGTTTGGGAGCTGTTAGAGCTAAGGAAGTACCCACGGGCCAGGCATTAGTTAGGTTCTGTCGAACTGTTAGTGCTGACGCACCCTGCGCAGAGCCTTGTCATTCCTTTTTGACTTGTGTTCCTTGAATTGTGCTTCGCCGAGGGAGCTTTGTTGAATTTCCAGGATGCTGGTGGCTCCAAAAAAGAGCCGAGTGAACTCATTTCCCAAGCTGGCCCTATTGCCAGAGAAAGAGAGTAGGAGTAGTGGTAGTTGTAGTGGTGGTGGGTTCATTATGGTTTCTTGATGTCACATTGTATGATTTTCTTGCGATCCAGGGTCTCAAAGGGGATGATATAAGGTGAGCCATCTGGAAAAGGTGAGGTGGGAATCTTGAAGTCCAAGTCTGGAAATGTAGTAAGTACTATCATTCACTGTCCGAGTTTATTCTTATCATTCCAACATTGTCATTTTAATCCATTAGACAATTGTAACCTCAATTTAGTACAAGATCATGGGGACTCCAAGCCCGCCTTCCCCACTATTCACTCCCCTCCCTCGCACCCTTACAGTGAGAATTCGCCCACATCCGAACTCACTACACATCAGCCTCTGTAAATTCATGGCGCAACTCTTCACTGGAGTCCAGCACAAAGAGAAAGATGGTCTTCAACAAGAAACCAACGATGTCGGGGAGGAATCATTATCATCATCTTCATCATCATCATCACCCTCCTCCTCCGCCCCCACCGAAGACTGGTTTGCATGGCTGCAAGTCCTGGGAGCCTTCTGTCTGAATCTCAACACATGGTAAGCAAGCTTACCCACACCCAGATCGGGGTAACATTCTAACCAACCAAATCTCTCCAGGGGACTTATGACACGCCTTCGGGGTCTTCCAGACATTCTACGAACTGGATTTCCTCGCCTCCAAATCCTCCTCGGACATCTCATGGATTGGATCCACGCAAGCCTTCCTCATGTTCATTGTCTCGGCGATTGTAGGGCCGATCGTCGACGCAGGTTACATGCGGTCCTTGCTAGTGCTCGGGGCCTTGCTCACCGTGCTGGGGATGTGTATGACGAGCCTGTGCACGGCATACTGGCAGGTGTTTCTGGCGCAGGCGCTGACCATGGGGCTGGGGTTCGGGTGCCTGCACGTGCCGGCCCCGACGATCATCTCTCAGTACTTCCACGCCCGCACTGCGCTGGCGATGGGGGCCTCCTCCGCGGGCACGGCCATAGGAGGCGTCATCTACCCGATCATCTTCACCCGCCCTCAGCCCGCATCGGCTTCGGCTGGACCACCCGAGTCCTTGCCCTCATCGTCCTGGTAACAATGCTCCCGCCGGTGGTCCTGATGCGCTCGCGAGCGCCGCCGACCACGCAATGGAGCCTGGTGGACCGGACCGCATTCCGAGATGTGCCCTACCTCCTCAACACCGGCCTGATCCTGGGTTCATGGGCTTCTAGATCATTCTGTATTACATCCAGCTGTTCGCGATTCAGGAGACTACTGTGTCGTAGACTATCACTACCTACATCCTAGTGATTATCAACGCCAGCTCGTTGCCCGGGCGGCTGATCCCCGGATACTATGCCGATCGGATCGGGTCGATCAACGTCCAGACGGTAGTCGCACTGGTAGGTGCTGTGATGACCTTTGCACCTATCGCCATTCACACGACCCCGGGACTGTGTATTGCGTCTTGTACGGGTTCGCCTCGGGGGGCGTCGTGAGCCTCTCTGCCGACCGTAGTAAGATCGGGACCCGGCTGGGCATGACCTTGGCGGTGCTGGGCTGCGGCGTGCTGGTGAGCACCCCCATCGCCGGCGCAATCCTGAACAGAGGACACGGTGGGGAGGGTCGCCATTGGGTCGGGCTCATCGTGAGGTGCGGTGCCCTGCTTTCGGCTTCGGTGGTGGCCATGGCGACAACGCGGATCTGGAAGATTGGCCTTGGGTTCAAGCGGGTGATTTGAAAGGGAGATGCGATTGGTTCTCGACTTATCGAAACCGCATTCGCTATAAACATGTTTTTCCTAGTGGTCCTCCTGGACTGGTGGATTCATTATGGTTTCTTGCTGGTGTTGTTTTGAAGTCGTTTGTTGGTTATGTCATAAAGTAGAAGCTCCATGGTGATAAGCACCCAATCATTGAAGTGTCCATATCTGACTTGAGAGCCCAGAGGGTCGAAGATAGAGTCCAACAAGGTTAAATTCTTGGTGCCTCTAACCCCAAGATCAGAAATACCTCTGTTACTTAGGAAAGATTCTTGATAGGATAGTTACTGATATCTTATCCTGATACAGATAGTCTATGCTCCTCCAGCCAGCTGGATGGAACACCCTTACGGAAACTAAAGACTCGATGCCTTTCTTCCATAAGCACTAGCATATTTTTGAGAAGCTCCAGGTTGGTAAGAGATAGTGTAATTATTCACCCCCTCATCTCGGACCGAATCCTTACCGCATCTGCCGCGTTCTTGCCACGATGAAAGTAGCATCCTAAGCGAGGCAAACAAAGCTGGGGGAAGGGGGTTCAACTGACCACAGGTCCGAGGCGGCGCTCCCCCTCATCATGGCACACTCTGCAGTACATTGTGATAACAGCTGTGATTGCTAGTCAACCATCATGCAGACTGCATTCTTGTCGGTGCAATGTGTGGTGTGATGACTGAACTAGCTACCTGCGGGGCAAATCTAATTAGTAGTATGATTGTCGCTCGCTTCTTAGTACAGTAAGCTGGACTGGTTGGAACGAGTCGCTTTTGAACTCAGTAACTTCACAACCATATAATCAATCACACATCGGAGCGGGGGGTAGAAGGTACGGTCCCCTGACGAGGAAAGACTTGGAAAACATGGCGCTTCAGGAGTATGTTGCTGAGCCATTGCTTGCGGAGGAAGAACGAGCCCGCACTCCTCCTCTTACTTGTCCGTCCTTCGAGAAAGATCTTCTGACTCAAGCACCGAAGAGGAGCTTCACGAGGAGATTTGCCCCATGGCTCATTCATCTATGCATCTTGCTGAGTTACAAGCTCCTCACATTGGCCATTGTGCGCCATGCCCTAAACGATAGGAACGAAGAAACTCGTCCAGCGCTTCCCTGTAGGTCCTGCCTCCTCCTCCTCCTCCTCCTCCTCCTCCTCCTCCTCCTTTGCCCTGCTCTTCTCTCCTCGACTAATATATCTTGCGCAGTACCAGATAGAGAGGGTCTGCAATGGCGCTCTCGACGATTCCCCACGAACATCGTCGATAATCCGCTGGCAGGGACCCCACGGCCGGAGTTGGAGAGTGCCTGGCATGACCTTTTGCAAAGTGAATCGGGTTTTTCCAATGTGTACGTGTCCGTTCCATAGGATAACAATTCCCTTCAGACGACAACATCCGCGTGCCAATCGGATATCTCCAGGAGAAAAGCCTGAAGTCGGTGTACACCCAAGACCACACCGAGGGGATCGTGTCTCTCAGCGTCTACCACTCATTACACTGCCTGGTGAGTCTATCCCCCAACAGCCCCTTGTCGATAAACCATGTCTGTCTCTCTCTCTCTCTCTCGCTGATGAATAACACAGAAAAAGATAAAGCATATGATGTTCAAGGAACACTACTACGCGGACCGGGAGAGTGGAAGCACGCCGACCACTGCGTCGAGTACATCCGGGAGAGCCTGATGTGCCAGCCGGACCTCGCCCTCGTCACCTTCCGGTGGATCAACGACACCGCGCAACATGCGGCCGCCCCAACCGAGTTTTACCCGACCAATTTCGACGTCGACGTGCACCGCTGTGCGGACTGGGAGTCGCTGGATCGGTGGGCGGGCCAGCGCGCGTTTGATCTGTCTCGAGTGGATCTATTGGATCGGCCGCTGGGAGGGTTGGAGTGGGAGATGGAGAAGGGTCAAAATTAGAGGGAGGAGCCCCTCGCAGGAGGTTCTTGGAATACTTTGAAAGACTGAGCGACGCGCTGACGGAGCGCGTACCAGAGTGCGGGTGGGTAGGTGACTGCTACCGTGCCTGGAGGGTATGCTCTTGATGGTTCTGCCGAACATCGATCTTTCTGCTCGTGGACTACAAAGATAGCGGAAGCTGAAAACAAAACGGAAGAGGCTCAGACATTATCGGAAGTTAAGTAGCGCACAGTACAGCTAGATGAGATTAATCATATAGCATTCCACGGAGAAGCCCTGGGCCCTAGGTACTGCGCAATTTTCCATCAGTAAGCTCCTGGGCGCCTCACCGGAAGCAGCAGGTGAAGTTCATACCATACCCCTGATCTCGAGAATGTCACTAAACCAGCTCAGATGCTCAAAGGTCGAATCCCTCCCCCCATCGCGGTGAAATGCCCCCTGGACCTCGGGAAAGTTGCGTTGTTCCAGCTCATTGAGATGCTCTCTACAAGGCTCGTCCCAGAGCCCATGCGTGATGAACCCAGACCAACCATTCCTCCAAGCACCCGCATGGTTGGATGCATGATGTATACCGCCGTCGCCGCCTTAGGCGGGATCTCCGATTGTGCATATGATTTGGTTCGTGCCGCGTACAGCTTCCACGCGGGAACCGAGCTTTGTGAACTTGTAGCACCTGCTCATGCTCTGTCTAGTCCGTCTGGCAGTCCCCCCCTTACTCGCATACAGCTTACTGCCGCTAATTCAAGTTGATGACTGCTCTTGGCAAGCAAGAGCTGATGAAAGCTGATGGACAAGACCCCCAACGAGGCCTCCCAACTGCATGCACTCGGACAAAGCAAAACTACAATGGCCTCTCTCATTCCGCAGATACAGCTATTGCCTCACAACGATTCTCCACGATCTAGTCCATTACAGTGAGGCTGTTCACAGTACCAAGGGGTCTCTCAGGGCTGCAGTGATATTGCGATGAAGTCCTACAGTCAAGCTATATTCTAGAGTGATCTGGTTTCTCACGCGTACTGTGCGAAAGATGTTACTCGAGTTCTTTTTTTCCCATTTATTTCACAGTTTGAAGGATCCAGATACATACGACCACAGGGTGTGGAAAACAGGGCTTCCCGTCCGCTCAGCCGTACTTAAGCCACACGCCGGGAGGTTAGTAGTTGGGTGGGTGACCACCAGCGAATCCCTTCTGTTGTATGTTTTTGTCTCTTTTTGCCAGTTTCATGTTGATTCCACCGGCGACATAGAGACTATGCGAGGGGACATTGTCTCTTTCGAAGAGCCCAGTGCTGCTTGTTCGATGACCGCCCAATTGTTGTCTTCGATCCGGCCCATTGCCCAAGCGTGCCAAAGTAATAATCCGGATCTGCGCCGAAACAGTCTTGTAGCGCAAACCATAGACGCCGTATATCTACAGCAAGCTAATCGCCAAGTTGCAATAATCCTATTTTCTATAGTGTTTCTACAATATTTCGACTTTTTATAGCTTTACCGTTCACCAGGACGCTTTCTCTTCTAACTCATTTTAATACAGAAATTATATACAAGGCTTTTGAATGAAGAATCCTAATGCGACGATACCTTGAGCCTGAGATATTTTAATATCTAATAGTTCTAGCAATCCAAGATAGAATATGGTTATGTGACTTTGCTGAAACCAAGTGGACTTGAAAAGATAATGTAATACTGCCAGTGTGAGGGCAGTCCTCACCCTGAACACCCCAAGCACCCTGAACACCCAAATAACCCTATTAATCCTATATACCTGCTTTACCCATTGTATCCAGTAAATCTAATTAGTTTGTTTACTATAATTGTAGTATTTATTTTATTTACTTTTTAAGCTGCCCCGCAATAAATAAGCTGTAGACTTATATTTTTTTTCTTTTTTATGCTTAAAATTCTTGTATTTTAGTACTAAATATATTAATTCTAATTTTTTAAACAGCTTTTATATAATTTTAAGTATTATTTTTAACTTTTTTTTAAGTCTCTTGATAAGACTTATAATTAATTTAATATATAAATAATTATATATAAACTTAAAAACCTATCTACTACGTATACCGACGGCAATAACAGCCGGTCTTAAAAAATTATAATTATAACTTTTAAAACAGAAAAATAAATATAACTTAATTATACAGACTTTTTTACTATTATAGTTATAAACTATATAGTAACCGATTTAAAAAAAAACCAAACTGTTGCCGCAGCTGGAGGTCTTATAGTAATTAAAAAACTAGAAAAATATATTAAAATAGTTTATAACACGCAGAAACTAAAAACAGTCGGATAAAATAATAAAAAATTAATTTTACTAATAAATAATATCTAGAAAGCTTCAGGCGGAGATATATTTTGTAAAAAATTTAATAAATTTTATAAAAAAAATCTAAAATATATTTTTAAAATAATACTAAGAACCTATAACAAGTTCAAAAAACAGATTAAAAATCTAACTTATAAAATAAATATTTTAAATAGAAAACTAGTATAGGCTAAAATAAATAAAAAAGTTTTAATCCAGAACCTAAATACTATAAAAATAAAAAAGAATTATATTACTATACAGAAAAATACTGCTTTTATAATATATAATAATATAAATTAGATATTTATAAGTAGCTGAAAGATATTAAAAATCTCTGATCTTTCTATATTTAGTAATAAAAAGAATATTATTTTTAATAATTCGAAACTTGTAATAGAATAACAACTTGAAATAAATACTAACTATTTTAAGAATCTGAAACTCCAAAAGATATATATAGCTAGTTATTATAAAAAAAATATCAGATAATATCTGCTGCCCCGACTAAGAATAGAAGCTGACTATTTATTTAAAAATATATCTAATATTTTTATATATCTAGCTAGTATTTATATAGACCCGAACTAATAGTAAAATATCTATCTAAAATATATATAACTTAAAATAAATCCTAGCTAAAAGTTTTACAATTTTTATATTTAGTTCTGCTATTTAATAAAAGAAGCAGATATTAGTATAAATTTTAGAAATTTAATTTTTATTAAAAATTATTTTCTAAGTTTAAAAAACTAATTTTAGTTAAATTCTATAAATTAAATATCAATTTTAAGTAATTTGCTACTACTTATATAAATATATCAGTGAATATAAATAAAAATATAAAATACTATTATTAGGCTTAATTCTTAATATAAAAAATTAGTATAATTATTAGTAATTAATCTGTTTAAGCTAAAAAAAGTATAAAAAAATCCTAGATTTTATATAAATAATAAAATATAAGCGGTACTATTTACTAAAAAAAAATATTTTTATTATAAAAAATAGAAATATTTAAGCTGCAACTATTCTAAGAAGAAGCCCTAAATCTAATCAATTAAAAAAAACTTAATAAATAATTCGGAAAAAAACTCTATCTAGAAAAAAACTTTATTTTAGGCGAACTTAGTATTAATTATAGATATATTAATTTAAAAAAGTTGTTAAAAAACCAGAAAAATAATTTTATAATTTAGATTTTTATTTTAAATAATACTACAGCAGTACCTGTAAGAATATTAGTAGATATTAAAATAAATACTTTTATTTATATTAACATAAACTATACTATATAAGTAGAAAAATTCTTGGAAACTACTACAGCCAGACTTAAAAAACTAAAAAATATTATTAGATTTAATGTTATACAATACCTACTGCTACAGCAGCCCATACCTACCATTATAGCAGCCCGCTCCGGAGTCGATACTAATTCGCCGGGCTTTTAATCTGGATATTTATATTATTATATTGCTTATTCTTCTTCCTGTATTATATATTGTCCTAGAATTTTTTAAAGAAGATTTCTGAAGAATTAGTCTTAAAATTAATAGAAGACTGCTTTTATCTTTAACTATTTTAATATAATATTGCTATTACTTCTCTTACCTAACCAGCGTGTCTACTACATCAAGTAGTTCCTAATATTTGATAAGAAGACCGCCATATCTCTTACTTATATAATCCGATTTAATCTATTAATAAATAGAAGATTGTTTAGAAAAGTATTATTTCTAATTCTAAATCTTAAATCCTATAATATAATATTTAGTAAAATATAGTTAGGCAAATAGAATTAGAGTGGATTAACCTAACTGTTATATCTTAATCTTAACCTGGTTATAATCTGGCGGTCAGATTAAAATACAAAAAAATTTTAACCGTATGGTTATAGTTAGATTAAAATATAACTATTATTTTAACTGTTTATATCTACCGGTTAGAAAAATTAGATATAGTAAATAAATTAATAACCGCAGGTTAATTAGTAATATATATATTCTTTTTATAAAAATAATATATAAAGTATAATATACTTTTAATTATAGTATAATAATATTATCTAGATTTAGCTTATCTGCTCAACCTGTTTAATCTATTTAATCTATTTAATCTATTTAATCTATTTAATCTATTTAATCTATTTAATCTATTTAATCTATTTGATCCCAGTGATTCTATTAATCTAATTAATCTATTTAATCTGCTTGATCTGCTTAGAGTGGATTAACCTGACCGTTATACCTTAACCTTAACCTGGCCATAACCTGGCGGTTAGATTAAGATATAAAAAAATTTTAACTATATAGTTATAATCAGATTAAAATATAATTATTATTTTAACTGTTTATATCTGCCGGTTAGAAAGATTAGATATAATAAATAGATTAATAACCGCAGATTAATTAATAATATATATATTTTTTTTATACAGATAATATATAAAATATAATATATTTTTAATTATAGTATAGTAATATTCTTTAGATTTAGCTTATTTGCTTAATATTATAGTATAATTCTAATTCTTTTAATTTATTTATTTAATTTATTTAATTTATTTAACTTACTTAATCTGCTTAATTTATTTAATTTATTTAATTTATTTAATCTTTTTCCTCGTGAAGCTGAGGGGTATATTATACTTTAAAAAAATTTTTTATAAAATCTAATATAAAAAAAA